TTTCAGCCTGGAAACCGCAGGGCAGGTGAACCACCAGCAGCTCAGGAAAAGCGGCTGCCAGGGTGGCATTAATCAATAACCACAACTGTATTCTAATCAACTACTGACAGGCGATGGAAACACAGAGGAAGGACATTGGCCGAGGCAACCCTCCTCTGCGCTTCTCCTGTTGCCCACCCTGGGAGCCAGCCGGTTTTTCAGAGTTAGCTTTCCACCGGCAAGCCCCTCCCATTTCTGCAGGGAGCCAGGCGGGTGAGCCTGGGCGGGCAGCACACTCGGAGCGAGTCACAACTCACTTGGGCACCAGACCTCGCTCTAATCTCCCTGTTCCTTCCCACATGCTCTGCTTATGGTTCCATGGCTAGACAGGGAATCTACAAAGTTTAAAATGAGAACTAGTGTGTGTGGATTTTTCTCTTCTTTTTTTTTTTTTTAAATAGGTGGTTATGTAGCCCAGCGTAGCCTTGAACTCTGAATTCTGGTCATACGCCAGCATCCCTGGCTGCATGTGTGACTGATTGCAAATATTCCCATTTGACAGATGCATAGCAGCATTTGGACAGAGGAAGAGGTGTGTGTGTGCAGAATGTGGGCAGTGGCTGGAGGCTGAGAGAGAACAGGCGATTCGTTTGCAACCAGGAAGGGAACTCCTTGAAAAGCTCACCAGGTGATGTACCCAGCAACCTCTCTCCTTCTGTGCCACCCCAAGACACACACACAGGCCCGGAAATGTCCCCCAAATAACAGCAGTGTAAAGCGGATCTCATAAAGAAATGGTCTACAGTAGGCAGATTCACAGGAGAGCCACCAGGAACTGAAAGGTTAAAACTTCATCAGCCTCTGCTACTCTGGGGCAGCAGTTCCTGCGACCAGCAGGGGACATCCCAAGTGTGAAGTTACCTTTTTTTTTTCCTTAACCAAGCAGAAAAAAAAAGGAAACTTTACTAGAAACCCAAAGAACCAATTTAAAATCAGGCCCTACACCACAGAATTGAACACAACAACAACAAAAAAAGCGCCATATTCTGGCAGCCAACCTCTCCTAGCCAGCATGCCAAGTTATCATCTGGGCCTGGTTTCAATGGCAGCTTTGTAGCCCAGATGGGCAGCACTACCACCCGACAGCCAGTTCTCGGCTCCAGAGAAGGACTCTGTGTATTTATGTGCAGGTCTTACCTCGAACCTGAAGCCCTTGGTCTTCACATGTCTTTTGTAGGGCAAACAATCCAAGTTTCAATGAGACAGGAGCCCAGGGAGAATAACCCCACCTCTGCTTTCCTCCCTGGTTTTTCTGACAGATGCTTTTCCAAAGCTCCCGTTTAAAAGTGCGAACCAGTTAGTCTCTCCATCCATTCATCAGAGGATTGCTTATCCCCCGTCCTAATACGTTCCTCCCTCATCTGTCTTCTGGGAAGGTTAGTCCCAACTGCTAGCATCACTAGATTTCCAGTCACCTCAGAAACACAGCCCTGGGGGCGTCTGTCAGGGCGTTTCTGCAAAGGTTGGACTGAGGAGCGGAGCCCCCACTCTGGACGTGGGCGGCTGGAGGCCTGGGCTGAAAGGAAAAGGGAAACGGGGAGGAAGCAAACCAGATGCATGCATCCTTCTTAGCTCCCCGTCCACGAGATTATCACCCACCACCTCACGCCACATCACCGTGTCCTTCCTACCACGGTGTGTGCGTGTGTGCGCGCCTGTCTGTGTGCGCATGCGTGTGTGTAGTAATGCCCTTACACACTGACGTGTACCTATGTCAAAAGTAAGCCATACTGGGTGAGAAGATACACGAATGTCCACTTCCCCGGGTGGTGGCTGGGGTGGATTAGCTCCTAAAAAAATGAAAACTTAGGACAGACAAGGGGAAGTGATGAGGCTACAGACCAGAGTGAGACAAACTTAACGACCTCGTACGGACGAACTTAACAAGAAATGCTCTGGCACGGGTAGATACGGCACAAGTATCTACTTGACTACTTCTGGTAATGCAGGCTGAGGAACTTGCCTGGGTGGCCCCCACATTAATTAGGAACACATGGCAGATGGGACTCGGGAGAGTAGACAAGACCCTAGATTAAAACAAAGAGGCACAATTCTGGTCCCAGTGACGGCTGCAGCTTGCAGGACAAAGTGGGTTTCGCCTCTCTAAACTGTCCTTCCTCAACCACCACACACACACACACACACACACACACACACACACACACACACACACACACACACGGGTACAGTGGTGCTCTCTCTTTCCTTCATCCTGGGGCTGAGGGCTGTGACCCAGGCTATCTCAGCAGCTCAGGCTATCTCATTCACTCCCCTGCTACTACTTCTAAGGATTTTATTTTACACAAGAGCTACCAGCTTGCTTCCCAGGATGAGAGGAGCCGTTTCCAGGGCCGGAATAGATTGGAGGAAAAGATGGATTAGGAAACAGCTGCTTTCCCCCCCCACAGTTGAACTGGGTTAGTAATGTTCACCCAGGTGCACACAGCGTCCTCTCCACAGATCCCTAGGGAAGGAACGAGGCAGTGTGAGGGCCCAAAGGTTCAGACAGTGCAGTGTGCAAGAAAGAGTCAAGCTAGTTAGCTTCCAAATATGTAGCCATCCTTGGTGCCTTTCCTCATGGGCAAACCAAGTATTTAAAAAAAAATTAGCAAATCACAGAGTGGTTAGAATTAAACCAAACAGGATTATTGTAAAATGTCTGCACAAATGCCACAGTATTAGGGAAGCTCTGTACTTTCGAGTTAACCTTAGTCTGAAAACACATCTCCCTCCCTCCTTCTCTTCCCCCTCCTTCCCTTCCTCCCCCCTCTGTGTGTGTGAAAGAGGGGGGGCAGAGATTAGAACAATAATCACGATCACCAGCTGTGAACAGAAACCCACGTGAGGCCTCCTTTGGGGGCTTTTATGAATTGGTCAGTATTAATTACCAACTGGTGAATACCAATAACTGATCAATGATAGTTAAGTCGATAATCTTTTTTTTCTCAGTTCTACCTGTGGTTACTGTGAGGTTTTTTCTTTTCCCCTCCTTTTCTCTAAACCTCATCCACAGAGAGCTACCATTATGCAGCCAGGAGCCATCAAAGACTCCTTTTTCCAGTTCATAAATTTCAAGTGATCTTAAGCTCGCCTCTGTTTCCCTCTGCATGAAGGGGTACACCACGGGAAATAAATAGTTAGCTAACAAAAATACCTTATGCCTAACATTAAGGATTTTGCTTTAAAAAAAAAAACTGGGGAGGCTGGGGGGGGAAGGGGAGTGTGGGAGGAGGGGAGGAAGAGGGAACTGGGATTGACATGTAAAACAAGCTATTTAAAATTAAAATGAAAAAAACTGGTATTTTTCACACCATGTACGTATGTATAGGAGTCCTAATTACATGAGTCAAGCAATAATATGTGTAATGAACACTAGGGTAAAAGCACAGAGAGGGTCAATATTATTTCAGGAAAACTCTGGCTTGCCTTGGTTCCAATGTGATGGCTGTGATGTTAAGTTTAATTCCACATGGCAGGTCGGAGTCAAAAGAAGTTTTAAAAGTCAATGAAAAGGCAACGAAGCCGACAGTATTCAGAGGGGCTCGAGTTCTCCTTCCCAGGAGCCCTGCCACTAGGAATGGGCTCTCGCCTTAGTGAAGGACCATATATATATGTATATATGCATGCCTGTGTGCTAGCTCAGAATCCTTGACCACAGTGAAGTCACCCCTGTGCCTAGAAGCCACCAGCTTCCATCGCATCCGGATCCCTTCCACATAATCCTAATCTTTTCTACCACCCACACCTTCAGGGTAAGGAAGCCTGGTTTCTGGAAGTAGGGACTTCCAGAAAGAAGGACGACACTTCCTTCCCTCACAAACACCAACTCCTCAACTCTAGCAACTCCAAGGAGAAAGCAAGGAGGATGCATCTGGGGGCTCCTCTTCTCCAAACACGGGGGCTCCTCTTCTCCAAACACGGGGGCTCCTCTTCTCCAAACACGGGGGGCTCCTCTTCTCCAAACACGGGGGGCTCCTCTTCTCCAAACACGGGGGGCTCCTCTTCTCCAAACACGGGGGCTCCTCTTCTCCAAACACGGGGGCTCCTCTTCTCCAAACACGGGGGCTCCTCTTCTCCAAACACGGGGGGCTCCTCTTCTCCAAACACGGGGGCTCCTCTTCTCCAAACACGGGGGCTCCTCTTCTCCAAACACGGGGGCTCCTCTTCTCCAAACACGGGGATCTCGATGCCCCTAGCAGAGCCCACAGCCCTTGCCTTCACTTTCACCCCCCCTCCCGGAACCGCCCACTGTTGCAGAGCGCGCACACCCCCCACCTCCCCACCCCGCAGTGGGCGGTTGGGGTAAAAGACGATGGATGTGACATAACCAGCTAGTCCTCCTGGAAAAGACAGCCTTCCAGAGAAGGCTTCTCTAGTTCCATCCCGAAGGCTCCCACGTTAATTCCTCAAAATAAAAGCCTTCGGAGAAAGTGAAGTTGGCGGCTGGGAAAGTTCCCTCGCTGGGAGCAACCGGGAGCCAGGGGCGAGCACAAGGCGGGCAGGGTCTTTCTGGACCCGCGTGGGAGGCGACGTACGCCGGGGGTGGAGGGGTGAGGAGTGGGGGCTGGGGGTGTGGGTCTCCCTCCTCTCGGCGTCTTAAAAGAACCTTCCAGCCAAACAGGGAAAAGAGAAAACAAAAGCCAACGTGTCCGTGGCTGCGCACCAAGCCTCCCGCGCTGAAGCGGAGCGAACGAGAACGGAGCGGGGCTGAGAGCCACCGCGGGACGGGGAAGGGGGCGCAACAGAGCCACCCCCCTCCCCGGGATCCCTCGGCTCCGGTGTGGGGGACACAGCGCCCCCCGGCCGTGCCTCGAGGCCCCCAGGGATGCAGGTGTGTGGGTGCGCACCCGCAGCGGGTCCCCCAGCGAGCGAGCCAGCGAGCGAGCGGTCCTCTCTGTGCGCGCGCGCGCCCCCACTCCCCCCTCCCCCAGCCATCTCTGCATCCCTAAGCATCATCTCACCCGAGCGGGGATCGAAGGTGACCACGAACACAGCCACCACCTGGTCCTCCTCCACGTCGCCCAGCTCCAGACGCCCGGGCTGCAGCAGCACTTCGGGGGCCGCTGGCTCGTCGGGTTCCCGCCTTCGGGGCGCTTCCGCAGCCGCTCGGCCGCTCCCACCGCCGCCCCGGGTCCATCCTCCCCGCGCCTGCAGCGCGGGGTCCTGCGGCACGGAGACGGCGGGGCCCTCGGCCCAGCGCAGCAGCGGCGCCGCGTCTCCCTGCTCCACCATGGCGAGGCGAGGCGGAGCCCAGGCGCGAGGGGCGGGGCGGGGCGGGCGGCGGGCACTCCCCTCCGGGCCTGCCCGCCCCGCCGCTCCTCTGCGCCCCGGCGGGCGGCCACTCTCTGGGTGCCCCGCCGGCCTTGGCCACACCTGCCCCTGCCCCCGCTCCTGCCCCTGTCCCAGCCGATCGGCGTAGCCCCGGAAGCTCGGGAAAGTGGCGGCCTCGGGCGGGATCGGCGCCCCGGGGCCTGGTCTGGGCTTCAGCTCGGCGCCTCTGTTATGTGGGTGCTCTTGACCCGGAGTGTGGGGTGACAGGGCGCACACCGGTTAGTCCATCCACCTGCGCGTGGGTTGGAACGCCTTACCACCTAGGGTTCCAGGTGAATTCTTGCACAGCCGCCATTATTTTTAAGGACCAGGGCACATACATGTATTATATAATCCTGAGAGCTTGGCGAAGGCTGCCTCCGAGTCAGGAAGTGGAGCAGGGGCACCGCTGGCTTCCCAGGTGCTTCAAATCTACACCCAAATCAGGGCTGAAAGGGTCGTAGGCTGATTGGGATGCTAGCGGAAATTTATTTCCTTGTGTGTATGCAATTTGAAGATATTAAGCTGGAGGGTTTTGGGGGTTGTTCTACATTAAAAAGAGCAGGAAAAGGGGGAGATTAGTCCCTAAGCCTGGGGCTTTGGAAAGTAAGGATTGCCTAGGAACCCCCATTGTATATTTACAAATAAATGTTTGAATGTCTCAACTCTTGGGACGTCAGGAGTCAATCTGGTGACTAGCTCAGAAGTATCCATAGGAAGCCATTAAAATCACGAGGAAAAAGCAAGATGGCAAGAGACAATTATGCAGACTCACAGTTTAACCCAAGTTTCAAGAAGACCCAGTTTCTGACGAGGACTTGGTGAATTTCTGTTTCACCTGTTACTCCAAGGGCCCTTGTGAAGCTCCTGGTCTCCCTGCCTGGGAGGCAATGATAATGTGCCTCAGTCCTGTTCTCAAGCGAGTGAGTCGTCAATGACTGCCCACAGCTGCTGCTAATTCCACATATGCAACTCTCGATTTAACAATAAAACATTTTACCAAAGAGAGGAGGGATTGCTGTCCTCATCATTAGTTAGTTCAACCGGACCTCCATCCCCTAAAGACAAGATAAGTAACTATCTCAATTAAGGGAGTAATTACTGAAATGAGAGTCCGGAGATGTACAATCCAAGCCAGGGCCAGGGCACAATCTAGTTTAATTCAAGGGCACACCAGGCTGGGTTATCCAGGGACTCTCAAAACTAGACACCAAAACCCAGGACTGAGCCACAGCCAAAGCTTCTGAGGTTGACACATACAAGGTTTTATTTTTAAATACAAAATGGGGGTTGGTAGGTAATCCTTAACCTCTCCAAAGTCACCAGTTTTAGGACAAATGGATTTTTAACTTCTTACTTGAAAAACATCCTTTCCTGGTCTTTCATGACAATGTGTGCTTCTCTGAGCACCCCTAATTTAATGTCCTAGGACTTCATATATACCCATACGTGTAATTTTCATAGCAGTCAGCTCTCTGTACATGCAGAAGAGCAAAGTTTCCAAACTGACCGCCTTGTTCTGTCTTCAGCTTATTTTAGTTGGCTAACCATGGAGCCCAACAGTGTATTCCCAGCGCTTTGTATAATGTTGCTCAACAGATATCTGGTCAACTCAGGAAGTGAAAGCAGAAACTTAACACTCCCATGCTACCGGCCCTCTTGCCGGGGCTTTATCTCATATCTTGCAAGTGGTAGGTACTCAAAGATGTCAGTTAGTGATGGTGACAATGGTCAGTTTTAGCATACACACAGTCTGAAAGATGCTTTTATACAGGACCACCAAATGAACCTCTGTACCTACTGAGCTGTCCATGGTGATAGAAACATTGCGTTTAGCTGGTAGAACAGCTCTGCTTGGCAACAAGTGTTTGGGAGATGCTTGGCTGAGGTAACGATATTTCAAAACACGTTCACCTAGAACACGTCTAAATCTTAAAATAAATCTCTTACTTTCTCAAATACTAAACATGTCTACATTACATAAAGTGCAGAACATTTTTTTAAATCTGCAACCTCAGTTTGGATGGTCATTGCGAAGACTCAAATTGTCGTCTCTCATCAATTCTAGAATGCAGCAAGGGTAAAGTCACTGGATCCCTGTTATGAGATAAGATGCATGCTTAACCATGCTTCGGTGTCTGATAATTGTCACCCAGGTCTGGTTGTCACAGAAGAGGTTTCTAGTTGCTATGTCAGCCGTGGAAAGGAACCACCAACCTGAGTAAAAGCCCTGTCTGAAGTTCCTTGGACAGTGTTGATAGTGTGACTTCAAAGTGAAAGCTAGTTTAAATGCCGGCTTATGATCCAAATCCATTGAGATTTTTTTCTTCCCTCCCCCTAGAGACAAAGTTGAAACAAGAAGTTTTCTTATCTAACCCTCTATGTAGGAGGCTGCTTTACTGTTTTATATGGCCGTACCAGCATGGAAGTGTAATGGCTTGTCTTAAACAGATATTAGATGCTTCTTTCTGTGCTTGCTTGTTGGCAGTATGCGTTAGGTTTGTTTTCTTTTCTCCTTTATCGTGAACATTTTGGTATCCTATAAAGGAAAGCTACTTGCATTATTTTGGTGGCTAGTGTTATGTGTGAGTTGGAGAATTTATATCGCCATCTGTCATCGCTGGAGAGTAAAGCTCTTCCTCTTTCTGTTGTGTCTAAAGTTTCGACTGAATTTCACACTTACTGTAAAGCGCTGTAACCTTTAGCCCTGCATACATACTGGGAGAGATGTGAGAAAGACTGACGTCTACCAAACTCATACCCCAGCAGGGAAAACAGCTATCAGGTAATAAATAAAATGTGGGATCCGGGCAGACAATCAGCCACCCGGCTCCTGATGAGCTAACTACTAGAGGCGGCTCACTGGGATCAAGTACACCCTTTTCTTTTAAGGTCTTGATTGTTGTATGTTTGTGTTTTGTGACTGAATACTTTTTTTCAAAATACATGCTAGAAATTTGTGTTTCCTCTTTAGAACACACCTGTCCATTTAATGTCTTAATCTTACCCAGTTTTGTTATGACGTGAGACCTGACATTTTCCCCATTGAATAGCTATTGTCTGTGTGTACTTGTGGAATTACTCCTTTAACTCCTGTGAGTGCAGTGCTGAAATTACTATATTTGCTGATTATGCATTTCTAGCCCTTCTCTATTTTTCCACTCCACACTCATGGGATACCCTGGGAGGTCTTGGTGTAAGAATGCCATGATTCCATTTACTCTTTAGAGAGGGCCTGTTAGCTTCTAGGTACAGATTAGAGTAGGTGAAGCAAGAACAAATTCACTAGATCCCTGTTATGAGCCTGAAGTCTTCAGGGATGAGGCATGGGGGGGTGAGGATAGATATGGGGTTTCACAGCTCTTTACTGAGATATGAAAACAATACGAAGGGGGATTTGAGAGTGAAACCTGGGACACGTCAAGGGGAGCCTACTCAGTAGGCAGAGCAAGTTGTGATAAGATCAATGAAAATTTGAAGTTCAAGAAAGAGGGCTGTGATGTAGTTATAAGTCCCAAGACTAGTTGGCTGTAGCTAGCATCTCCAGTAATGTCCCTCTACGGAAGTGAGCGTAGACCAATGTTAGAGGCCTGAGCCCACTGAACTCCATATTTAGAGGCCAGAACGTGAAAGAAGTCATTCCAGCATTTTACAGATCAGCTTTTAAGATACCCGTGCAATTGTTTATTTGCTTACAGGTAGTTTAATACTACTCTAAACATTTTAATAAGTAGATACTCATTAGCAAAAGATGAATCAGTCTGGGAGACAGCTTAGACAGTGGAGTGCTTGTTTCCTAAGCATCAGGACCTGAGTTTGATTCCTAGAATGCACATTAACAACCCAGGCATGGTGGCACACAGTTGTACCTGGCCTTGGACAGGCAGAGAGAGACAAGTGCATTTGCCCCTCCACCCACCTCAAGACCAACGGAAAGACCCTGTCTAAAACAAAAACAAAAATAAAGGGGGGGGTGGGAGTCATCCACAGGCACCACCCCACACACACATGGACCTGCACACATGTGAACACACACACACACGGACCTGCACACATAAGAACACACACACACACACACACACACACACACACACGGACCTGCACACATAAGAACACACACACACAATCACGCAATGGGCTCCACTTGCCGACTGCCCCCCGCCCCACTTCCGATCTCCTTAAAGAAAACCACTTTGGACGGCTTCTGAGTTCCCAGAGTTCCTTGTGGCTAACCCTGTGGGGAGGTGCTGATTCATCTCTGTCGACCTCTTCAAACGCTCATAAAATGCTTTCCGATCCAGGTGTGGCGGTGCCTGCCTATCATCTCAGCCCTCAGGAGGCTCAAGGGCTCGAGGCCGGCCTCAGCTACCTAGAAGATGAAGGCCAGACTGGCTGGTCTGTATGAGATAATTTCTTCAAAACAAAACAAAACAAAACAAAACAAAACAAAACAAAACAAAACCAGGGGCTGGAGAGATGGATGTCTCGGAGATTAAGAGCACTGGCTGCTCTTCAGAGGCCCTGAGTTCAATTTCCCAGCAATTGGCTTGCCGGCTCACAACCATCTACAACGAGATCTGGCGCCCTCTTCTGGCCTGCAGGGGTACATGCAAGCGGAACACTGCATAAAAGCCTTAAAAAAAAAAAAGGCCAAACAAAAGCAATCCAAACCAAAGTTGGGGTCAGGATGGGGTGGGGAGGGGGGTTACAAAAATAAAACCTCAGTGTAGTGACTTTGCAATAGCACCAGACTGGGAAGCACAAACAAGTGGCCTCGAGTATTTGATCAAGACTTCTACAACCTATCCTTGGATCATAAACGTGATATAAGTCAAACAACCGCAAAAGTTTTCCGTACTTGCTGATTTACTCCAAGTTAAAAAAAAAAAGTCTGCCTGAATGCCTGTGTGTTGGTGTGTACGGGTATGTATTATTTCCTGAAATCCATCCAAAAACAATTGATCGAACATCTCCTTTTGCTCCCACTGATAATGTGTGACCACTGTTAACAAGTCCTCCTGGTTACTACGGGACATCTGGGATGACCGCAGTGAAGCGGAGCTGGAACCTTCCCAGACGGTGAAGAGGCTATGAATGGAGAACAGAGTATAACATGACAGCAGAAGCGGTGAGGCCCCGGGCCAGAGGCAAGCCTGGGTCGTCAGAACCAGCAGCTGCTCTGTTCTCAATTGTATCTTCTATCCCAGAACATCGCCTAAGATCGGTGGAAACAGAGTGTGGCGCTAGATTCTAACAGAATCACCATTGGCGGCACGAGGTCTAAACACAGTTCCTCCCCCAGGCAAACAATGTAGTCATAAATGATTGATTATATTTGTGGTTGAAGTCTAACAGGGAGAGGGGAGAGGCCGGGCGCAGTGGTAAACAAGGATCATCTGGTCTACCTGGGAAACGCCCACCCAGCGGCTATGCCCCGCCTCCAGGTCCCAGACACACTCAGTATTTTACGTCCATCCCCACTCTGTTGGGGGTGAAGACGACACAGCATTTGCGAAGTGAAGGAAGCTAGAACTGACCCCGTAAGGAGGCTGAGGGAGAGAAGGATCCCACCACCCGACTCCCTGGCTTGTAACCGAGAACTTTACTATCGGGCTCAGAATTTCTGTTGATGGTAAATTCTTGCTAGTAACCTGCGGCTTCCTTTCCCTTGGATGGCTTTTTTTTTTTTTAATTTAAATTAGAAAAAACTCTGCTTCACATGTCAATCCCAGGTCCCTTCTCTCTTTCCCTCCCTTCCTCCCACGCCCTCTCACCAACCCCCCCAATATCCCCTCCTTTCCCCAGGGAGGGTGAGGCCCTCCATGGGGGTGTCCATAGTCTGTCATTTCATCCAGGGCAGGGCCCAGACCCTCCCCCAAGAGTTCAGGGTGAGAGTGCATCTCTTATTGTTGGATGGGCACCCAAAGTCCTTTTGTATACCGGGGATAAATACTGATCTACTACCCAAGGCTCAATAGATTACCTAGGCCTCCTCACTGACACCCACATTCAGGGGGTCTTGATCAGTCCCATGCTGGATTCCCAGCCATCAGTCTGGGATTCAAGAGCTAACCCTTGTCAGGTCAGCTGTTTCTGGGGTTAAACCAGCCCAGTCTTAACCCCTTGGATGGCTTTTTATTGCCACTTGGGGAGGCTGAACCTCTGACGAAGGTGAGCACTGAGTTTCCACATGCCGAAAGGGTTATTTCGCTGTTAAGTACCTGGAACCTTGTGTGTGGGTGGAAGGGGGTGTGGTGGTCAAGCCCCCCCAAAAATCATTAGTGGGCCGCCTGCCACGGCCCTGGCTTCTGAGGACGCTTTCAGTTGAGGATGCCTTCTCCTTCCCCAGTTTTCATTTAGGTTGCCCTCTCTCTCGGTGAGTTCTTGTCAGAGGTGGGGAAGGCGTGGGAGAGGAAGGGTTGTGAAGGGACCAGCGGGGAGAGAGAAAGTGGGAGAGGAATGGGAAGCGGTTTGTAAATGGAAGACTCAGGCAAGGGAGAAGTACAATTTGTTTCAAACTCTTCAAGCTGCTATGGTCCCTCAGTCTCGTTGTCCCCTCTCTTGTTCTCTTCATGTCAGGCCCCTGCAGAGGCACTTCCCTCCTCCTCCTCCTCCTCCTCCTCCTCCTCCTCCTCCTCCTTCTCTTCTTCTTTTCCCATTTTTTAAATTTAAATTAGAAACAACCTTATTTTACATATCAATCCCCATCCACTCCCCAGGGAGAGTGAGACCTTCCATGGGGGATCATCAAAGTCTGCCTCATCATTTGGGGCAGGGCCTAGGCCCTCCCCCCTGTATTTAGACAGAGTATCCCTCCATGAGGGAATGGGCTCCCAAAGTCCATTCGTGCACTAGGGATAAATACTGGTTCCACTGCAAGAGACCCCCTAGACTGCCCAAGCCTCCCAACTGGCACCCAAGTTCAGGAGGCCTGGTTGGGTCCTATGCTGGCTCCCCAGCTGTCTGGCTGGGGTCCATGGGCTTCCACTTGCTCAGGTCAGCTGTTTCTGAGTTTCCTCTTGATCCCTTTGCTCCTCACCAGAGCCACTTTCAAGGTACCAAGGGGCTCATGGGCCTTTTCCTTTCTGACTGACTGCCTTTCACACAGATTTCACCTACGGTATCCGTGAAGCTTTTCTTTTCTTTTTTCTATCTCTCTCATTTCTAATATATGTGTACACACTGTGTAATGATTATCATAACCAAATTGACACGTCCCTCACCACTCTAACTGGAATTAGGTCCCCAGAACTTGTTTACCTTCTAACTAAATGCTGGCCTCCTTTGAGCATCTTGTCACCAGCCCCTCAAAACCGTACTTCTACTCTGCTTCCAAGACTTTACTTTTCCTGGGCTCCACGTACCAGTGAGATCACACAGCATTTGTGTTGTACTAATTGAATAGCGCAGTGCCCTCCAGGCTCACCCATATTGATAGAGTAGCCGAATAGTATTCCTTAGATGTGGGTGCCAGTTTAGAAGACCCAGCCATTCGCTGATGACGCGAGCTATTTCCACACCCTAGTTGTTGTGGCTAGTGCTGCAATGAACCTGGAGATGTGGAAATCTCTCTTGGGATGCTGTTTTCATTTCCTTTGGGGGTAATTGCACTGAAAACGGATTGTAGGATCATCCCCCCCAAAGAAGAGGATTCTGAGAAAGAAACTAAATAATTGAAACTATCTTAAAAAAGGCATTCTGGAAAACATGGCAAGTCTTGGCTCAAAGTAATTGTGTTTTAAAAGTACTGCCATCCACTTCCAGGAGTCGCTGTTCCTTCTAAACCTTGTTAGCTCCAAACATGTGTTCAGTCTCCTGATGGCTTTGACTGCTCACAGTCGATGGGGTGGGGTGATATTTGAATTAGGAAAGGTGCGTCTGCGTCTGGCAAAGGCATAAGGGGTGACCCCACTGAGGACATGAGCGCCAGGCAAGGCACGCTGAAGGCTGTGCAAGGGTTATCAGGATGTGTAAGTGATGCTGAACCCTAATGGCCGGCTGCTGTCGGCAGAGCGATGGGTGTGGCCTTCTGGGTGTGGCGTGAAGGCCATAGTGATTGGTCCTTACACGTGGCAGACATGAAAGAGTAGAAAAACGATTTCCTTCTGATAATGAACTTGCTCCCCAATTGCCTAACGGACGTTTTTCATAAATTAAAAAAAAAAAGCCAACCATCTTAATAGTAGTTCACAGCAACTGGCCCCTGGGAGACTGGGATATCAGGAGAGCTCTTACAGGGGTTGGATGTGATTGCTTGCAGAGTCACTGGGGGTTTCTTTAATCAGAATGGAAATAAGGATATGCTGAGGCCTTAGGAGCATGGTACTTAAGGGAGAACATTGGCGGCATGTCTCTCAGCTGTTGGTGGGTGGAGGGAAGGGCAGGCTAAAGTTGCGGAGCTTGTTGGGTTTTTGTTTTTCCCTCCTCCCTACCTCTGTAGAATCCCAGTGCTCCCTGCTCAGAGACTTCCTTGGCTGCACTGTAAGGTCCTTCACTGAGATGGCTGACGAAAGTGTTGACCAGAGGCCGAGTAAGAAATTAAAGTTCTCCCTTCGCGAAGAAGATGCGGAGAGCGGAGTGCAGACCACAGCAGGAGACACCGGAGAGGCCCAGAGCCAAAAGCCTGAGAGGGAAGAGGATGAGAAGCCGGAAGGTCCCAAGTCTCCCCCCAGAGATAAACTGTATCCTCCTCAGAACAGAGACAAGGAAAGTCCAGAGCCTTCCAAACATCCAGGGACGCCAGAACCGTACGGCAAGAACACGCTGCCAGCTGCTGACAACCCCTCCACTCCCAAAGTGAGTAAACCATGGAGAGGGAGGGACCAGGTTCCTGAGGTCTGTTCTCTTATGGGTTCACTGATGGGAGAAGGGGGCTTGGTCATTTACATATATGCAATGGTCTGGCCTAACAGGCTAGGTATATATCTTCAGTTACCCGTTTCTTAGTGGAAACGGAGGGCAAGTTTAAAGTTACCAAGAAACAAAATGAAACGTCTAGCTGCTTGTTTCCCTCAACCAGTAACTATTTGGCATCGGCTACTCAAACATCTCAGTAGAAAAGATCTTAGTTAGAAATGAAAGACACATGGAGAGACTTTGAGGCTTGGCACTGGGGAAGTCCAGGTGGAGGTGTAGCCTCAGTTGCACTGAAATCCTAAGGGCCGAATGGGTCATGAAGAGAAGCTGAGGCTTTGTACATATGGCAGGATCCGGAGTTCCTAAAGAGAGCCCTGGGGAGGCTACAGGTGAAGGTGTAGACAAGTTGTAGCAGAGACAAAAAAGTAAAAAGGAGGGAAGGAGAGGAGGGGAAGGAGAGGAGGGGAAGGAGAGGAGGGGAAGGAGAGGAGGGGAAGGAGAGGAGGGGAAGGAGAGGAGGGGACGGAGAGGAGGGGAAGGAGAGGAGTGGAAGGAGAGGAGGGGAAGGAGAGGAGGGGAAGGAGAGGAGGGGAAGGAGAGGAGGGGAAGGAGAGGAGGGGAAGGAGAGGAGGGGAAGGAGAGGAGGGGAAGGAGAGGAGGGGAAGGAGAGGAGGGGAAGGAGAGGAGGGGAAGGAGAGGAGGGGAAGGAGAGGAGGGGAAGGAGAGGAGGGGAAGGAGAGGAGGGGAAGGAGAGGAGGGGAAGGAGAGATCTTAAAGAATATTTTAACTGGAAGAGCTGTGGAGGTCCACAGCAATCCTTTGTACTTTGCACATAAGAAATCAGTTTCCAAGAGATGAGCTGTCTTACCTCAGCCCGAGTCAGGGATAAGACTGGATATTTCATTTTTTAGTTTCCTCTGTTTCCCTTCCCATTGTGGCAGCTGGCCGTATTTTTGGGTGGTGGCTTACCACTCTTCTAGCACAGGAATGTTCTTGTTGACCATCCTCATACCTGCCGCTGTCGCCCTTCCCAGCACAAGAGTCCTCTCTACTTTGTGCCTAGTGCGGTATCGGCACCTCTGCTCTACTTGGGAAAAGCAGAACTTGTTTAAGAATAAGATGGTTGCTTATAGTTCCCATAATTCTTTGATTTATACTACATTACATTGCTCATTTGTTAGAGCCAGGGCTTGGAGATGGTTACAGCAAGTAGATTCTGATGACATGGGGTGTGACTATTAGCCCTGCTCCCCGCCAGCTCAGCTTGAGGTACTTAAGATCATTATAATATGTGTGACCCCGCTTGCAGCCCAGTCAGGGGGTCTCTGTAGTGCCTGCTGAGGCCCGAGTGTGTCTGACTGAACTGTAGACTTACCAAATAGGTTCCTGTGTCCATCAGAAGGTGCTCCAGTGTTTCTAGTACAGATCAACGGATTATCGGTTTTCTTCTTGAGAACCCACCGTGGGTAATAAACACAGGGCACAATCTCTCTCTTTGCAACCAGCTGACAACTCATCAGGAGATGGGTTGGGTGGGGTGGGTGGTATTTCCAGAATTCTCTGTGAAGAATGACTCTTCGTGGGATGATTAGGAAAGGGAGAAAGAGAGTAGCAACGACAGCTGGTGTTGTTTCAAAGGATGCTGGGGCATGGGCTGTGTGTGGGAATATGCAGGCAAGACAGTGAAATGAACATGCCCGTGTCTCTCATTCATTCTATCACCCACAGTGTGCTCTGTCAGCAGACCGTCCGCTAGAGGACGCCATTCACTTTAACAAGCCCCGCCCCCGTCGAGTAATAAGCAACCAGAGCAGTAATAAACGTTCGGATAATGTGAGGAACGGCAGAGTGTGGGGAGCAGAAATTGGGAATTAAGGTTTCAAGCAGTGGGAGCGGTTTTCTAAGGGAAGTGCTGTCTGAGAAAAGGACTTGGGTAATGAGCTGGACTTAGCCAACTGAAGAGGGGAAGGAGAGTCCTTAGGCGAAGAGCAAGACACCTACTGAGTGACAGAGGGGAAGGAAAACCATGTTACTCAGTGGGAGGGGAGTCTCTGTGACGGGAGGGGGGGTTCCGGGAACGAGGTGAGACAGGTAGGCAAAAGAGAGATGGGCATTCTATCCTTAGAGGCTCAATTAACCATTCAATGGCTTTTGAGTGGGGGTTTTGTTATTGTGTTTTTTTTTTTTACATAAAGTACTGTTTTATTTTTCCAAGGTGTTTGGTTTGTCTTCATGAAGCCATCCATCTCTTTACACGGGCTTTGGTGGAGGTCGTGGTGCAGCACCAGCGGGTCTAAACCATGGTGGGGGTGTCCGGTCCTTCCGGGCTTCACGAGATCGATTCCTGACTACTTTGCTGTGAATAGCACAGCTCACACAGTAATGTAGCTTGACATAGAGCTTGGGAAGCACATAAGAGTCGAACACGATCGCTTCCCATATGTCCCTGACAGCATCGGCCTCTACAATGTTCCGAATGATGAACTTCTTAATGGCCTTGTCCTTGGGCACGCACCAGGCGCAGTTTGTGCATCGAATGGGCTGCACATGGCCGCGGCGTTTTTTGGTGCGCCCGTTGTTCCCTTTTTTTTGCTCATCTTGGAGCCCTTTTTTTTTTTTAAGTTTGTGGTTTCATGGTCAAAGCGGACTAGACCAGAGAAAAGTCTTGACACAGGGGGATATCCACGGGATTCTGTTGATAGCAGAAAAGGGCCAGAATTAGGACAGGAGTGAACAGGCTTAAGCTGAGAGATGACCAAGAACTAGCAATAAATTGGTGGGGGGAGGGCGTTGCATGGAAAAGAGGGATCCGAGATGATAGTGAGGCTTCTTCCTAGATTGAATAGGTAGAGCCTCGAATCAAGATGGGAGACACTAAGGATATGCAACTTTGGGGGGGCGTAAAACAGATATGTGGAATAAGTAACTGGCTAAGTGGGGCCAGAGATCCCTGTTTGGCTCTATATGGCATTTAGGAACCCAGTGAAGCCATGGGCAGGGATCAGGGCTGCTATGAGAAGTGCTGCCGATCTTCTGGATCGTCCTGAGATGAAGAACAGGTATAGAATAGAGCATGGAAAGCAGGTGGAAATACAGTAGGGAAAATACTGGAAAACGCCTGCTCCACTATGGTGCGTTTGAATCAGGATGAGAACGGGGCAGGGTACCAACCAGTGACGCTTTGCTGAAGACATGTCTGCTGCAGCACAGGAAAGCAGGGCAGGGATATTTCTGCTTTTCCTAAGATGCGCAAGCAGAAATCATGTGACACGAACGCCCTTCTCCATCAGGGATTCTTAACAGACTGGGAAAGCGTCTTTAGGCAGTAGTAAGGTTGCTGCAGCTTAATTACGCTGAACACCAGCTGATTCCATTGCAACCTCATAGATTCAAGGTTCAGGGGCTTAGTTGACCTTTCAGTTAGCAACTTCCAAATACTCTAATATTGTCCTGATAGGGGGTTGCCTTCTCACCTTCTTCAGAAGTCAAGTAGCTACCCCACACATCTCCCTTAATTGGCCACGTAGAGTCATCACTAGATATTCTTCTACACTCTCTGGAATTCACACACCCTTTCTGTCTGCTTTTCGATCTGCTCTACTTCTGAGTAAAGCTTTCTTTCATAATGGATATTAATATCTTTATATCACAAGAGGAGATCACAAATCCTATTGACCTTCATGTTTTCATACTGGAAATTCTAGTGTCATCTACCATGGTATGAATTTCTTCATGTTTTTATCTGAAAATTTCATAGGCTCTTTTTATTTTCCTTAAAATATGGCAAAAGAGCCAGGAGGTAGTGGCACATACCTTTATTCCCAACACTTGGGAGGCAGAAGCAGGTGGATCTCTGTGAGTTGGAGGCCAGTGTGGTCTATGAAAATTAGTTCCAGGACAGACTCCAAAGCTACACAGGGAAACCCTGTCTTGAACCCCCCCCCAAAGACATGGCAAAAGAATTATGTGCAGCATTGTATATTTGGACACCTTCCATTTCATCTGTGAATGATGCATTGTACTTGGCATTATAAAACAAACATTCCTTGAGGGGATGGTCTAGTGTTATGCAGAGACATAACACTATGTACTATAGTTTTGCTTATTTTGAACCTATAGTCCTTTTTCATGACCAACTCACCAAAAGAGAGTGACATTTTCAGTGTGGGTTTTGAGCACAGTCCTAGGATTATTCACTCTGTGAACTCTAAGATGAATGTGAGACCCTTATTTAAAAAAAAACCTTGATTAAGCCAATGGTCTGTTTTTTTCACCTACAAAAAGTTGTGCTCATTTGAATGTTCCATAACATTTTTCCATCTCTGCTTATGTCAATCATTTATTGAATATTTATTAAGCCTAACAGTCTTGGAAGGCTCACATCATCTGACAAATCTGACAGTTTGGCTCCTGACTTTACCCTGAAAAGTCACAGAGTCAAAACGGCAGGGTTCTTTGATAGCAGTCCCCAAGCACAACAAGCACGCTGTGGAGCTCCATCTTGCCCACATGCCTATTACTGTGTGCTTGCAGAGCGACAACACGGGTAGTTCTCTAGGTCCTGACACGTAGATCTAATGACATCCTTTTCTTTCAGGATCCTTTGTCTTGAAATTGGCAAATTGGCTAAATTCTGCTTAGGTCTAGGTTCAATGGGATTGGCAAGTCTTCCATTTGTTGGTAGTTGGTTATACCCATCATCAGACCCCTGAAATTTTTTTAGTGATTTTTTAAAATTCTTTTTACATCCCAGCCAGTTTCCCCTCCCTCTTTTCCTCCCAGCCCCTCCCCCCAATTCTGCCCACCCCTACTCTCTCTGTTTCTATTTGGAAAAGGGCCAGCCTTCCATGGATATCAACCAAACACGGCATATCAAGTTGCCGTAAGACTAGGCACTTCCCCTCATGTTTAGGCTGGACAAGGCAACCCAGTATGAAGAAAAGGGTCCCAAAAGCTGGCAAAAGAGTCGAGACAGCTCCTGCTCCCACCTTTAAGAGTCTTGCAAGAACAAGCTATACAACAATAACATATATGCAGAGGGCCTAGGTCATTCCCATGCAGGCTCCCTGCTCGTCAGTTCAGTCTCTGAGAGCCCCTGTGAGCCCAGCTTAGTTGATTCTGTAGGTTTTCTTGTGGTGTCCTTGGTCCATCTGTCTGCTGCAATCCTTTCTCCCCATCTTCTTCTGCAGGATTCCCCAAGCTCCACCTGTGAGTCTCTGCATCTGTTTCCATCAGTTGCCGAATGAAGCCTCTCTGATGACAACTGGGCTAGGCACCAGTCTATGAGTATGGCAGAATATCATTAGGCATCATTACTTACAATGACTTTTTTTTGTCAGTACCGTTTGGTTCTATCCTAGGTCTCTGGGCTATCCAGCTTCTGGGTCTTGGTACTCCAGGCAGTGTCTGGGTGAAAGCCCTAAGAGTTTGAGATTATTTTCGATTATATATTTTTTAGAGCTGCTGTTGTTTTAATAACAACCCACTCAGCATAAGTGTAAAACACTGTCTGGAGGGCTTTGCCATCTGATTGAATATTTGGAGTGGTTATCTTCTATTTCCTGGAGTACTTACTCATTCTTAGAGCGAATGCACTTGAACTATTACCACTAAACTTCTCTAGACCACATACTGTAAGGGAAGAGAGATCTTGTGGTTTTAAACATCCACAACAGCATCTGCCACTCATGAGTGCACGCACACATGGTCGTTTATGTTATGCTACGCTTCTGTAAAATGCTGATGGTTAGGATGCGTTGAGCTAAAAATCTTTACAACTCTTCTGTTCCCCTCATTTCTGCTTCTGAGCTTTGGCAGCGTACAGTGTTCATGCTGCTTGCCATTCTTCCTGACGCCATCCTTTAATGGGCCTTTCTTTGTTTATTCGTTCTTATGATCATCTTTCTTTAATTTAAAATGTTAACATAGTCTTCCCTTCTTCCCCATATCCCTATACCACTCTCCCCTGCTCCCTTGCTCTCTCAAATTTATGGCCTCTGGCTCCTTTCTCCTTACCCTAAAGACCTACAGGCAAGTAAAAGATGCTGAGAGCAGAAAAAGTGCTGTTTCCCCAGGGAAGACCAAGTGGGCAACCCTGAAATCATGCATATACTAGTAACATTATAGGCTATATTTATCTATTTAGGAATGTATATATGTAGACTATCATTTTTAACCTCTTTATTTCATTTCATGGTGGTTCTTACCATTTTCTGTGGCGTTTTAAGTGAATTTAAGAACGCCTTTTTCATTTAGAAAGTCCATGAAATATGTCTCTTACAAAGTTATTAATTCAAAGGCACTGATGAACTGATTGACGAACTGTGTGTGCGTTAAGAGCTACAATTTGTCCGTGTACTCATTAGCATCTGCCGCTAAGTAGGTAGCAAACAAATGCTTGGGATGAATATTTGAGGGAGAGTTAATGTATGAGAGCAGAAGGATGGGGGTATCTATGGAAGCATTTTTTTTTTTGTCCACCTAAATGAAATATCCTCATCTTTGAAAGCTGAAGGTAGGACTTAGGATTGTTATCACAATCAGGAGGCCTGCCTAGAGGAAGGGGTGGAGCTTAACAAAAACACTGACTTCTGTGTTGATTCAAGAGATGAGACTAGAATTTCATATGCTTAAAATAAGAGCACCAGGTATAATGCAACTAGTTCTCGCTGAAGCACACAATCTTTTAGCAATGACATTCTTTGGCTTACACACATTGACTAACTGCTTGACATGAAACTTTTACTTTTTAAATCCCCCTTCTGATTTGCCTTTTGTCATCCTCACTCAGAACACAATGAAGCAGCCAGAGATTTCTTCGGTAGGGAAACTTTCTGCCCGAAGCTCTAAACATCTGAGGCTCCCATCTGCCCCCTTCATGGATGAGAAGACCTCCAGGTCTCTGGTTAATATCAACCCATTCACTCCGGAGTCCTATAGAAAGTTATTCCTTCAATCAGATGGCAAGAGGAAATCCAGAGACTCTCCGTAAGTGCACATTTCTCTTGATTTCTGAGAACTCCTTTGGGCCGGTGCTAGAATAAGGTTAGGAATGAGAACTCTACTTGAATGAGACTGAACTAGTGCGTGTGCGTGTGCGTGTGCGTGTGTGTGTGTGCCCCTCATCCCTGTATGTCAGTGTTGGTCACAGAAACCCAGGCATCTTTCCATTCTGATGTGTACTGCAGGGAGCCTTTCAATATAAAGAGTCTAGCAGAGCCGGGCGGTGGTGGCGCCCGCCTTTAATCCCAGCACTCGGGAGGCAGAGGCAGGCGGATCTCTGTGAGTTCGAGGCCAGGCTGGACCGACAGCCTCCAAAACAATATAGAGAAACCCTGTCTCGTAAAACCAAAAAAAAAAAAAAAAAAAAAAAAAGAGTCTAGCAGAGCAGCACGAGATCTGACTTACAGTCGACCGCTGAGTCTCTATGGACTGAATCAGGTGGACTTCCTTCGGCTGACAGGAAGCTGGTGACTGGGGATAGCATTCATGTTTCAAACCATATATTGCTGCTTTGAATTTGGCCGGTGACACCCAGTGATACTGGCGATGCGAGCCACAGGGCAATTGTTTGAACTCCTCTGTAGGTGACGGGAAACTGAGGAGGGTAAAATATATTGCTGCTTCCAAAGGGCTAGTAATGAAAAGTCAAAGTACCCCATTCCCCAAAATGCCACAGAATGGTAGAAGTCACCTGAATGAGGATTATGCGTGTTACTTGGGGGCGTTAATTATTTTTGTTACATTTCTTTCTCTTCCTCCCTGTCCCTCTTACACTGTCTTCCTGTGTGTGTGTGTATGTGTGTGTGTTCACGCGCATACATGCATACATGTACTGAAGGAAATGCACATGGCCCAGCACATGCAGGAGGTCGGAGGACAACTTAGGGAGTCAGTCCCATCGTGCTGCCGATGTTGTTCCTGGGGTTTGCTAGCCAGCGCCTTAACCTGCAGAGCCATCTCCCTGCCCTTCCTGGTTTACTAACTTGGGGATATTGCTTAACCTGCAGAGCCATCTCCCTGCCCTTCCTGGTTTACTAACTTGGGGATATTGCTTTACCAGTTTCGTTGTTGTTGTTGTTTTACACAATGGGAAACAGTCCTAAAACGGGGAGGTCGTTTGTGTTTATAATACTCAGGAACATAAATGAACAGCTGCCAGAGCTTTGTGGAACACCTAACCCTCCCTTCCCCACTCTGTGAAGCCGGTGGGAGAAGAGATAATTTAAATGTGGTGACACTGTGCTGACACCTCTTAATGCTCATGAGAGAATAGCCCTTTTCCTGATCCCCTTTAAGTTTCAGGGTGTAGTCTTAAGTCTAAGTCACACACGATTGTCAGCTGATTTCATGAACGTAGGTCATCTGCTTGCAGTTTCCTCCCTGTTTTTCTCTAATAGAAACTGTCTGGCGTGTCCATTGGAATCTTGCCTGTAGACCCAGAAAAATGGCTCATGCAACGGAGGATGTTGGCAGATGACTTCTTATTGTAGAGTAATTGAAGACCTCTTAGGGAAAATTATTTTCTGCTATACTCACTGTCTTTCTGTGCAATGAGTTAAAAGCTGGGCTCTTGCGGGGGAGCAACGTAGGAAGGAGAGTGTAGTGTGGTTGTGAAGGAAAAAATGGCTTGCAGTTAAACTTGGTTTAAACACCAAGTTCTTCCAATTGCTGTTTGGGAAACACAGAGTGCCTTGACCTCTCAGTGTGGCTGGCTCCTTTGGGGGAAACAGTACCTACCTTTTGTTCAGTGCTCTCCCTTGTTTCCAGGTCTCAGCCCAGGGGTCCTCAACCCATGTGTCTTAATTCTTTGGGTTGAGCAATTCTTTCACAGGGGTCACATATCAGATATCGTGCACATCAGATATTTACATTGTGATTCATAACAGTAGCAAAATTACAGTTATGATGTAGCAACGAAAATAATTCTCTGGCTGGGAGTCACCACAGCACGAGGAACTGTGTTAAAGGGGAGACTGAGAACCATCCTCTCGGAATGTGGTCGTCTAGTTGCCCGAAACGTCCACTCCTTTCCCCAGGCAGCTCCCATTCCTCAGAATCTCAGCTTATGTATTCTCTTCTGAGAAAGCCTTTTCCCTCTCGAGATACTCACATAACTGGTAATGTTCACCGTTTCTGCCAATGTAGTTAGTGTCCTGGCCTAGGCTCGTGCATTAAACTTCTTGGTTATCTCTACTCCCGAATACAGAGTTAAGAGGGAAAGGGATTTGTTTACTTACGGACACAGAACTTATCCCAATCCCAGCCTCAGTGAGTGTGCCAATGATACATAGTCTTTAATCGTGCTTGCTCTAACCTTTTCCTTTTAGCCAGGAAACCGGAGAAGGGGAAGGCACATCAGAACAGTGGATGCCTGCTAAGGTGAGCACGGTCTTTTGGTCCAGTGGTCACAGCATCCTAATTATTCTGTCTGTTTCTCCCTCTTTCTGCTTCCTATCCTTTTTTGTTTCCTCTCTTTCTTCCTTCCTCTCCCTTCCCCTTTCTCCTCTCATTCTTCTCCAACCCTTTCCTCCCTCCTCACCAGTTTCCCTCACTTCCCTCCCTCCCTTTAGTCTTTCCTCCACGCCCTAATCCCCTCAACCCCATCCTTCTCTACCCTATCCTTTTCTCCCTTCTCCCTTCTTTCTCTCCCTGTCTCCTATTCTTTCTTTCATCTCCCATCATCCTGTCCACCCTCCCCCTCTCTCCCTTCCTCTCTATGGCTTTAGTGGTTTTTTTTTTGTTGTTGTTGTAGCATAATTTGCATCTAGAGAATCAGTTGTTATTGAGCAAAGCGATAGCTGATAATGTACATTGCTAAGTTATTAGATACCTCTTAAAAGTTCCTATTTCTGCTTTTAATCCTAGGAAGTGTCTATACTGGGGTAGGGAAGGAACGAGAAAATTATCCCCCAAGTCGAAAATTGAAATGGAGAAAGTGGTATTGGGCCATGAATTTTCATGTAAAATTTTAGCTATTAAATGTATCCTTATTCATTCTTTTTTTGAGATTCCCCATATGGTAATCTAACCTATCAAATGACCATTATAAACATTTGCCTCTGAAATATTTCTCACATCTGAATTGTAGTTGCTGAAAACTGTAGAAAGCACTGAATGCCCAGTAATAGAAGAACTGATATTAAATTAAAGTGTTTGCAACACATGGAAACATACCTCTTATGCATTCAATGTACAAAACTCAAAAATGTATATGATGGTTATACACGTGATAATCAAGAATCCAATGTTGCTGTGACAGCTGTTATTACAGTGCCTTTGAATAACAAAAACCGCACAGTTGTTCTCACTTCTAATTACTAAACTTTTCCTGAGCAAATCTTGTCTGCATAAGTAAGTTAATATTTTCCTAGTCTTTCCCTGTCTCACTCTCGTCCTTGGCGTGGGGTTTCTCATAGCTCAGACTGGTCTAGAATTTATAATCCTTCTGCCTCTGCCTCCTGAGTGCTCGGATCACAGGTTTGGAACATACCCCAATGGAGGTAGTATAGTTAAATGTCAGCACCTGGCTATTGAAACTGACACAGAGAAGGCTGTGGGCACAGGCTTCCAATTTTCACATGTGAACATTTCCCATTCATGCATGTACTGCTTTCTCCTTTGGGTTTTATTCCTCATTTGTTTTATAAGTCTTTAACTGGCATCTGATAGAATGCCAGATATATTCATCAAGAGGGGAAAAATCTTATCTCTACAAAAGTCACTGGCCAGGAGAAACTAACACATTTGCAATATCAAAATGATATGCACACAAACATAAAACAAAAAATTACCCAGATCTGTGTGAACCTATATGTGAACCTCTGTGTGAAGTGTGAATGTATGTATATATTTAATAAGGTCTGCAAGGGTAGTAAAAATCTTGTAGAAGACAAAATGATAGAACAGATATTTCTAAGCAAAGAAAGGAAGCAATCTTATAATTCTCTAAAGACAGGGAAATGGGTCCTGTTTAAGGGTGGGTTGGGCAGTTGAGTGGCCGGCAGTGGTGTGGACACTACTGTTTGGTAGTTATAGGGTGGTCAAAGTACTCAGTTCCACTTAGTAGGAAGGATTTGGGTCTGTTGTCAGAGTTTAACTTTCTTTTGGGAAACAACTGGGCTTTTAATTCTGGGGGATCAAACTGTGTTTACTAGAGGAGTTGGAGAGAGCTGATGATGTAGGCAAATCCAGATATGGAAGAGTCAGAGCTTAGGGTTGCCTAAGGGCAAAGGAAATTACAGGTCTTGCTGATAAGGACTGATTGGAATTGGATGCAAAAATGATCAAGTAGCAATCAAGATTTTTTTTAAATTTGCTAAAGTTAAGATGAGAAACATTCTTGCTAATTGGGACATTAAAAAATTGACATTGGGGAGAAAAATCATCTTAAAGTTAGACTCCTGTGTAGTTGTAGAGATTTTAGATTTTGATCACAATACTAGACTGTGAAACTTCCATGTGTTGACATTATAGTACGATAACTGTGATCCGTGGATTGCATCAACACATATATACAATGTATTTGTAAACATACATAAACATATGTGCAATGACATATGTGATAAAACGTAGTATTTATAGTATCATATAATAATGTACCCCGAGGAGTCATTGCTATGACCTTCATGTTACAGACTGAAAACTGAGGAGTTCAGTGATTTTCCTGGGTTGATTTACTAGCTGGAAAATGAATGATATTACCAGCTGGCCACTAGGAGGAGGTAATGCTGAACACAGGTGACAGACATCCATTCGACAGCTTTGTTTCCCATACTAACACTTCTGTGACAACAAATTGAAGCCAGAAACTTCATTCAGCCTGAGGTAGAAATACAGCACGCAGTCCTTGAGAAAGGTAGAAAGGCAAAAGGAGGTTTTAGTATCGTCTATGTTTACTCCGAACATTCTTCACTTGCTTCCTGCTAGTCCTTTACTGAGGACAGTAGTTCTGGGCTTTGGAAGCTGTGGGTCTCCCATCAGAATAGTCTGACCAGATGTGGAAAGAGTATTCAAAACAATGTGACTAAGGTCGGTACCGACTTGTATATAAAGTTACGAAGGACACTGGTGTGACCAGCCACTGGGAAAACATTTTGCTACCATGATTACCAACACAAAGAGAACATACTGCCTTTGCCTCACATTAAAAAAAAGCAATTTAGGAAATGTAACGTAGCTCTGCTTTCTCGCTCACTGTATGTAGGAAGACTTATTCCCTCTCCTCTCTTTTTTAAATATTTTAGAGAAGTGTTCTACGAGAAACTAATATGGCTTCCCGCTATGAAAAAGAGTTCTTCGAGGTAGAAAAAATTGGGGTTGGGGAATTCGGTACAGTCTACAAGTGCATTAAGAGGCTGGATGGATGCGTTTATGCAATAAAACGTTCTACCAAACCATTATCAGGATTATCAAATGAGTGAGTACCTTTGAAAAGTACTGGATGAATAAACTTGGATTTGGTACTGTATTGATTCTCAAACTAGTTTTAAAAAGAGCATGGATATCAATGAAAACACCCCATCTGCTTGATTTTAAATTCATCCCCACCATTGGATGTCATTTTACATTCGTTGCTTTACTGAATTGTCCAGAACACCAATGACATTTCCTAAAATAGAGCATGATAACTTCCGATCATGTTGTTGTTTGTGATTATAGGATCTCACCATATAACTTTAGCTAGCTTGGAACCCACTGGTTAGACTAGGCTGGCCTTGCACTCAGAGATTTGCCTGTCTCTGTGATTAAAAGCATGCACTACCCCATGCACGCCTTGTTTTAATTTCTTGTCTTTCCCGTCCACTGGTCTTACTGCCGCTCTGATGAACTGATTTTTGGAATGGTCTCCTGGTACCTGTGTATGTTCACCTGAAATACTGTCAGACAGGAAATATTATCAGTGGTTTATCTCTACTTTATACACTTTCTAGTTTACCTTTTGTGGCTGTGGTAAACACCACGACTAAAAAGCAGCTTATAGAGGAGGAAAAGATTTATTTGAATTTATGCTTCTGGGTCATCATGGAAAGAAGTCAGGGTAGGGACTCAAACGGGGACAGAGATAGGAACTGTGGAGGCACCATGCTTACTGGCTGGCTCTCCAGCTCCTCAGCATGGCTTCTTATACTAAAGCTGGTAAAGTTGGTACCTCCTACAGAGGTACCAACCAGATATCAAGCAAAAGAATCTCTCACAAACATAGCTATAGGCCCATCCAATTTATACGATTCCTCGGTTGACATTCCCTCTTCCTAGGTAGCTCCAGTTTGTATCAGGTTGACAATAAACTAACCAGCACACATACTAATTCTTAAGTCAGTAGTGAAGTTTGATTCTGTGTGCAAAGAAAAACTATTAGAAATGTTTATATTTAACTCCCAGAATTAACTCTTCATTTTTTCCCCTATGATCCTAAAGAAAAAGATATTTTCAGATTGCTTTTGTGAGCTTCTTCATCCATACTGGCCATGCTGAGCCAGACAGTGTAGGCTTTTGTTTTTATAGTGATGTCAGTCAAGGACAGAAGTTGCTTCTCTCCCAAGGCTTTCCCATGTAACGCATCTGATTGGGTGAGTTTGATAATGACTGTGATGACTATCCTTCATGGAGAAGATAGACCCATCAGAGTGTCTGCAATCAAGTGTGTGATGGCCTTCTTGTTATGTCTATTACTAGGCATAACAAGATGCAATGTGCATTGTGATACAATGAAATTAAGACTCGAAGCATGTGTGCTGTTGAGGCAGTAAGCACATGAGGTACCTATATATGTGCCATGTTCAATCATGTTCAATGAAGAAAGCACAGACCTTGGCTGTCTTCCCTTAGAAAAATCTCTGGTGGGGTATATAAAAAAGATGTTTAATCTGCAGTATGCCAATTAGTTTTTCTACATGCTTTTCTCTCCCTTGGGAGTGTGGATTTGCATGAAGTTTTTGCCCATGCAGTGCTTGGCCACCACCCCCACGTGGTACGCTACTATTCTTCATGGCCAGAAGACGACCACGTGGTCATCCAGAATGAATACTGTAATGGTGAGTACGTAGTATAATACCGGGAGGGTGGTGCGCTTTTTAAATCTTGGGAAATAAATATGCCTCGTCACAGTTTAAGCCTTTACATTCTGGAGTCACACTGAAGATGTTTGTGCTCCAAAGTGGAGATGAGAATAGAGTTGAAGAGGTGTGTGTGTGTGTGTAAAGCTAGTACAGCTGATATAAAAATGCTATCAGTCCCTTCACAGTTTATCTTATACTGAAAGAAAAAGAACATTACCATACTAGTTTAAATAATTCTCTTACCATCTGCCAGGTACTTGGGAAGGTATAAGCCATACCATTTGGGGGGGCATGGGAATGAAGGTTCCTAGTTATGATTGTTTTGGTAAAGGCTTTAACCTTTTCACCTATTTTCCCATAGGTTTCTGAGTTTAGGGGTCTTTCATGTCATCTGCTGCTCCAAACCCTTGAGCTCAATAGCTCTCACCACAATATAAGCAATGGGATCGGTGCTGTGACCAAATTCAGTGCTTTCAGATGTATTTTTCACATGTTGAGTAAAATCTGCTCTAACTTTTAAGGGTAGCAGTATGTACTCTGACTGCAGGAAGTTTGAGAGCCCTCCTTCCACAGCCACCTGGAGAGTCCCTATGTCTGCCTTCTGGTACTTTTAGTGTCCACCTGAAGGCCTCAGGTGGAGTTGTCTGGCCTGGCCTTGGAATATAGTGACCGGTGATAAAGCTTCTTGTTAGGGAAATAAGAAACTAACCATGTTGTGAGGCCAAGGAATGGCACACACAACTTGAAAAGCTATAACTTGGCGTTTCTTCGTTTCCTTATAGAGAAGGTTTTTGTTTTTTGTTTTTACTTTAACCTGTAGACTTTGCAGGCTTTTTATTTTCCTCTTTTAAATTCACAATCCTGCCCCCTTTTGTTCTATTAGTCTTTGAGGAAGTGCAGCTTTATGCTTACGATTAAGGCTTCTCTTAATAACCCTTTCTTCCTGACTCCCTCATATTCAAACCTGAAGCTTCCTGCTTGTTTCCCCTCCCCTTTTTTAGAAGGATGATTGGGTTTGCTTTCCATGGTTTTTTTTTTTTTGCTATTAGCACAGAGTATGAAATAAGAAAAATTAACAGAGTAAAATGTTAATGTGATGTAGATTCAATGAAAATGTTCCAAGAATCTCAAAACCAAGATGGGGATGTTGCTTCTATTAAAATAATCTTTTAATTCATTTCAGTATTTGAATGCCTTCCCTAAGTTGGATACTCTATTAAACTCTAGGTAGAGAAATACTCGAGATTGGGATGGATGGGTAAGTCCTTCAAGGTGCCCTGCTGTACTCATCCTGTGGAGCAGACAGACAATCTGGTGCCCAGCTGTCTGGTACAGTCTTGGGTAAAGAAACAATCGGAGAAAGACCTGGGTTTCTAACCCGACTCTGATGCTCACTGCCTGTATGTACAATTACTGGAATGCCTTTCAAAATTAGCACATAAATGGATGGTAATGCTTATTACACAAGTAATTTGAGAACTAACGACAGCACATGCAAAATATTAGCAGAGTTAATATCTGATACATAATAAAAAATAGAGCAGCTCCAGGTTCCATAAAGGAGGCAAGACTTGAATCAGACCTCACAGAATTACTGGAGTTTAGTACCTCAGAGGGAAGATATCCAGTTGTTGGAACATCAGGCAGGCTAAAAGGCAAAAAAATTGAGAGAGGGTGTGACCTAACAGACAGTAGGAGACCTAATATGGGTGATCCTTGTGGTAGGAAATAATATCATCAAGATAAAAGGAATTTAAAAGCCAACCAGTGGCTTTCAGGTTAAAAGGGGGAGGTTCCAGGTTGGGAATTGTTTCCTCATACTGATCCATTGCCTTCACAAAGTGTTCATTCAGTCTTGCTTAACTGATTTTGCAATTTGCAATTCCTACAGGTGGAACCTTTCCAAGCTGTCATTCCTCCTCCTTCCCGGCTTCACCCCCTATTTTTCCTTCTCATTTCATTCTCTTTATCCCATGCCTTCCCATTGCTGGTCTCCTAACCTGTCAAAGCAGTCAGTCGGGGGCATGTACAGTTGTGATCTTAATTTACATGATATCATAAGTGATGTAGAGTCTTACAAATATATACTAGATGGCTTATTAGAGACCTACTGTCACATAGTTCTCCCTGTTGTCCCTCTTAAACCTAAACCCATCAGATGTCCTCTCCTTCCCTTTAGCCCTTGTCAAGATGCCTTGATAGTCACCCCTGGATAAGCCTAGAAAACTAAAATGTTTCCAGGAGATTCAGCAGCCCCCAGGATTTCAACTGATTTTGGGTTAGGCTATTTATCTCTCTGTGATGACAATATTTGTGTATGCGAATCGAGTTGGCTTGATTGCCCTATGTTTAATAATTAGGCAAAACTCTTAAAATGGTAATTGTCACATACCTAATGCAGGGCGGCATGATATACGTCTGGCTACATATTGAGAAACTAGAATCTCGTTTTCTTTTTCCAAACTCCTGAAGTCTGAACATCTATGGTGCTGATACTGTACGCTCTGCGCAAGGACAGAACTATGATTTGTTCAAGGCTCTCATGATATTTCCTATGCCTTTGTTACCTCTGAGACTCACATCTGCTCTCTTCGTCTGTCCGGTTCTTCTCCACAATCCCTGCCCAGGTGGGAGCTTGCAAGCGGCGATATCTGAAAACGCTGTGTCTGGCAATCACTTTACTGAGCCCACGCTCAAAGACATCCTCCTACAGATTTCCTTGGGACTTAAGTACATCCACAACTTTGGTATGGTACACCTGGACATCAAACCCAGTTAGTATTTTCTTCTGTCTCCATTCCTTCCGTGTTTTGTCTTTTATATACCACCTGAAAATGTGCACCTGTGTACCTTCAATCTCAAAGATAATATTGTCTAGAAGAATTACTTCCTTCCATTCATTTCCCACAATGAACTTGGTCAAATATCTTTAGCCATTTTCTCCTCGAGACACTCTCATATAGAGTAAACTATAAAACTAGATATTTAATGTACCACATAGAAAACTGACAGTGTGTCAACTACATTCTGATTGTGTTTTTAACTAGTACTGTATTTTCTCCAAACCAGCCCTGATCAGAGTGAACAGAATGAGTGTTATCACTTTTTAGGTGTGACACCTGAGAAGTTATTATTTTGTGAGTTTTACTTATTTTGAGACAGCATGTGACCATGCTCTTCAGAGGATGAGGACTATATGAGATCAGTTCAACTTAAACAGGTGTTATCCATCACCCACTGTTCTGATGTGATGTAAGAGATTACATAGAGCTGGGTATGTGCACTCAGGAGACAGACGTAGGCTGATCTCTGTGTGTCCAAGATCAACCTGATCTACATAATGAGTTCCAGACTATCCAGAGCTATACAGTGAGGCAGAGATAAGGAGGTGGAGAGTGACACACACACACACACACACACACACACACACACACACACTAACACACACCACACACAAAGATTACATAGGAAAAAAATTAAAATCCAAAGATTAGTCATCACTCTACAACCACACCAGAGGAGGGAAGCTGAGGGTCATGGCCATGAAAGGCTCTTTGTGGGGCTGGAGCTCAGAAATCATTACTTATGTCTACTGTTTCTTCAGGTAACATCTTCATTTGTCGTAAGACACAGAGTGACTCTCCTGCGTGCCCAGATGAGGATGAAAATGAGGATAACTGGTTTATCTCTGCCAGTGTGATGTATAAAATCGGTGAGTCTGTTTCTATCCCATTGGCACGTTACCCTGTAGACAGGCTGATGACTACATTTACTCCATCTCCAAGAAAGTCATTCTTTAAAGCATCATCTATTTCTTTTTTAAAAGGTGACCTGGGCCACGTGACGTCAGTCAGCAACCCGAAAGTGGAAGAAGGAGATATTCGCTTCCTGGCTAAGGAGGTCTTGCAAGAGGTATAAACTAGGGAAACGGGAGGGGGGATCCTTTTTTCCCCCGTTTCTTTTTTTGACTCAGAATCTTGCTGTGTTGTTCAATGTGACTGCTGCAAACTTGTGGGCTTCCAGCCTTAGCTTCTCAAGTAGCTGGGACTACAGATGTGCAATACACATTTTATAATTCATTCGACTTCTTGACTCTCAGATGAAGGCTCTTAGTGCCCCAAATAAAGAGTATATATTTGTAATCCAAACTTACAAAGTCTCTTTTCCATTCAGAATAGAGTATTTACATTCCAAATACGGTAAAGAAATTCCTCCAAAGCATGGGAATGTTATTTCCATCAACAGTGAATTGATATTTACATACTTCCCCCTAAAGGTCCCCCTCTGTGTCTAGTATTTCTTACAAGTCTTAGCCTAGTGGGTTGCATAGGAGAAAGGAACCCCTCTCTCCATGCTCATCTTGTCTTTATCATGTTGCTATCCTCTTGATAACCCACCAGCTCTGATCACTAAAATGACTGTTAGTTGTTGCCCATCTTCTAGGACTCCTGTTGAGTCTAACCTAGCAAGTCTATAAACCTCCTTCTGGGTAATACTTGTTAGGGAAAGGTCTTTCCTTGTGATCAGCTAATTAAGCCTCAGTGGATCTGACAGAGCAAAATGACACTGAGATTCTACCCTGGGCTTTCAGAGCACAGCAATATCATTAAGGTTTGTTTATGCTACCTTTAGCTTCTTGGTATAAACGAGCAACTACAGGACATATAACTATGCCATGGTATTGAGAGCTTATGTGTAATCGGACCTCTGCCAATCACATTTTAGCCTCACTCTACTTGGCAGGCTAACTGGTCTTCCTGTCTTCTGTTTTGTAGAATTATCAGCACCTTCCCAAAGCAGACATATTTGCCTTGGGGTTAACAATTGCAATGGCTGCAGGAGCAGAGTCATTACCCACTAATGGTGACATGTGGCATCATATCCGCGAGGGGAACTTTCCAGATATTCGTCAGGAGCTCTCAGATGACTTCTATGGTCTACTCAAGGTGACCCCTCCTGGGAAATGAAACATCTATATTTTAAATGTGACAACAGGTGTGGTGGTGGTGGCAGAGCAGGGGTTAGGTAAATATGAATTTGGTTAGGGCCACATGAACAGAAGGAGGAATGAAGTAGGACGTTCAGATAGGACAGGACAGATGGAAACTTCTTCAGGAAACTTAGCCTCTACTGAACGCTCATGCGGACACTTTGTATTTGTTCTTCCGAGTAACCCAGTAAAATGGCAGGTGGAACACCTTTCTGCAGCAGAGGAAACGCAAGCTCAGAGGGGCTCTTGTATTCAGTTAATAACAGATAATTCTAAATTTAAACCTCATCTTTCCCCTCTACCATCAGGGTGTGCACTGTTGTCAATGACCAGTGATGGCAATTTTTTTTCTAAAATAATCACTTCATGAGTTTCTTTTAAAGTCTAAACAACTTTTTGATAATTGACAATGCCATTATTTGAGCTACTGGGGAAAAGGCATAATGTCAATTCAAAAATTTATGACTTTTTATAGATAAGCATGCATATGGATAACAAAGGGGGATATTATATTGAAACAAAGACAGCTACAAAACAAAACAAACAGCACCAAGATCAGACCCAACAACCTTATACTACCAAGAAGTTTAGAGTCACCACCCCCCAAAAAATCATGAGTTAGGAAACAAGGTTGGTTAGGGTCCCTAAGAAATAATCTGCTTTCTTGAACATTAGATTTCCATTTTTAACCTACAACTGTAGTTACCAATTCTTCCTTTTTATTTTCATTTCTCTCTCCTGGAAAGAGGAAAACCTTTCCTATGATCTTCTGTTGGCAGCCTAATAAGTTACTCTTATACATATATGTATATATAAGTGTATTATATATACATATATCTCATACATGTAAATGAATCTTAGATTCATTCATATTTATTGAGTGCCTAAATGCTAGCCCTGGGCTATGTATACGGTATAATTTTTGTTAATTGACTTAACCCTCACAACAACCCCAGGAAGGGAAAGGTAGCATCCTGAATTTCAGATAAAAGAACTATAGTACATTTATAGAGTAAATAGTGGTGCTTGCTCTGAACTTGGACCCCAAATAGAATGATATGGAAAGTTCACTGTATCTGCCATCCTGTGACACCATTCATACATACATTGAGATACTGACACACTAACCACATGGTAATGTCATGATATTTAGATCATCGTAGATCTCCTCTGCCCTGAGCTAAGTATTTTAGAGTCATTAAGAGACAGAGGAGTACAATGTAGTAGACAGTAAGTTGAACTCATTTGGGGAACTTGAAACTGAGTTGGGTGAACTGGGTTTTGATCTTGGCATTTCCTATAACTTGGATATAGCTCCAGTTTTTCCCTCTATAATTAAAATGTTAGATTGTTGCTGGCATTTTCCTGTGCTGCCTGGTTCCACCGCCACTTAAGCCCCAAATAAACACACAGAGACTTACATTAATTACTAAACTGTTGGTCAATGTATAGGGCTTCTTATTGGCTAGCTCTGTCTTAATTATTAACCCATAGCTACTAATCTATGTATCTCTACATGGTCTTATGTTTTTTATTATTTTTTTTACATTCCAATCCCAGTTCCCCCTCCCTCCTTTCCTCCCACTCTCTCCACTCTCCCATCCTCCCATCTGCTTCATAGAGAGGGTAAGGCCTCCTGCATGGCCTTATCTTACCAGAGAACCCCTGGTGCATCCTATGCTCCTGGTCCCTCCATGGCATCCTTTTAACAACACTATACTAACAAATCAACAAACCAGCTAGCTCTCAAACATGACAATTAAATCTAAGTCCTATGTACAGACAAATGATGCTACCACACACACGTGGTCCTTCTGTTCAAGGTGGAACAAAGTTTTCACTGAGGAAAAGCAGTTTCACAACACCCAGCAGTAGATGTTGAACTGAAGTTGCCACTATTGAAACTTTTGTTTCCTTCTATGGCCCTAAATCTACCTTCAGAGCATGATCCACCCTGATCCAGAGAAGAGACCTTCTGCAGCATTTCTGATCAGAAGTCAAGTTCTTCGACCCTCCCTGGAAAATACAGAAGAACTCCAGAAGCAACTGGCCTTGGAGAAGTCCAAGACAGCCATACTGGAAAGGTAAAGTTGGTTGTTGGAGTCAGTAAAGGGTTCATTTGAACAACTCACAGTGGTCTGACTGGACTGGTGTGACTCTATGGATTCAAGTCTATGCACATTCTACATCAGATGTAGGATATCCCATAAGTCTGGCAGTGAGCTATGTTTGGGGGCTTGGGACTCTGCAGCTTGAGAGAATTCCAGGTAATGCAAAAGAAGTGAGAGGAAGGAACGCAAGGAAACACCAGTGATAAGGGAGTCCTTGGGCTCCGAGGGACAGCAGGTGTCAAAGCAAGTGCTTGGTGATCACCGAAGAGACTCTTAGCTAAATAGAGGTCTGTTTTCGGATCTTAGATGAGTAGAGGCCTCTTTAGAAAGCACCAAGCTGTGGGACAGAAGGCAGACACCAGATCCTGATAACATATTTAGAAGACGATATGTTTTTTCTGAGCAAAGAAGGCAGTTCAATCTCTCATTTATTAATTCCTTCATCAAACAAATGGGAATTAGTTTGGGTGTGGTGGCGAAAGGTCATACAATGATTAAGTGGAATTTTGAAGGGATTCTTAGTTGATTATTGTACCATATATACACTTTTTAAAAAAAGAAGAAAATGAAATATGGTCATTGCTTGAAATTTGCTTAGAATTCCAACTTTGTTTAGCTACAAAGTCCATCTTGGAAGGATTAGCTTGAAAACTTGAAGGGTCACTAACCCGTGTTTTGGTTTTGAGCTGCAGAGACTCTCATCCTGTAGCTGGATAATTAGTTATTCCCAACAAACCACCTCATATTTTTTGCTCTTTTTGAGTTTCATTGTTTCAAATAATAAACTACAAAATACCCATATATGTTGTTCAGAAGAGTGCAACTGTCTTGAAGTCTGAGTACATATTTTGTGAAGCTAAGCTGGAGGTACAAGTGACTGTAATCAATATAAGTGATCATAAAAATCATAGAGATGGTGAAAATGGAATCTTGAAACTATTTAGAATGCTGGTTGTCAACCTTCCTAGTACTTGTGACCCTTTAATACAGTTCCTCATATGGTGGTGACTACCAATCCTAACATTATTTTCATTGCTACTTCATAACTGTGATTTTGTTACTATTATGAATTGTAACTATCCTTGTTTTCCGATGGCCTTAGGTGACCCCTGTGAAAGGGTCATTCGACACCCAAAGGGGGTCATGACCCATGGGTTGAGGACTGCTGGTCTAGACCAAGGGGTGGTGAACTTGCTCTGTAAAAAACTAGATTTCAAATGGTTCATTCTTTGTAGTATGTATGATTTCCTCTGCAATGATTCAATCCTGTCATTGTTGTATATTTATATTTACAGTATGTATGTATATTAGATAAAAATGATTCATTGTTTTTCAGTGAAATCTGTGGTTTATTGTCCTCACTGTTCTTATATGTCGCCTAAAAAGTTGTTCACTTAGAATGATAATTTTAAAGGTGACTTATGAAACATGAATGTGTAAACCTTTTTAATGGCCGTAAGAATGGTTAGAACTGATTCTTCTATTCTGCATATAGCTTGGGCTTGGTTTTGTAAAACTGAAACGAAAAGAGATTAGCTGTGATCATGAATACTACCTCTAACTAGGGAAGAGTTTACCCATGCCTGTCCCCTTTGATCACAGGGACCTGAAGAAAGTTCAGCAAATGCAGACCTCTCAGAGAGACATCCACCATGATGACCCTGGGACCCCTGGAACCCACAAAGACACAAGAAACACGTGACACCTGGTGGGAGGAATGAGGGAGGAGCCCTCAAGATTCACCTGTGTGAAGTTCTCCTTGTAAGCACTCACTTGTCACACAGCCTTCAGAAGGCCCACAGGATGCAACAACGAGCCAGCTTGAATGCACTAAGATTTCGAAAACTACCTGATGTAGCATCTGTGGGAAGGTCGCAACGCTTCTAGGGTTTCTTAGCAATGGTCTCACATCTTCCCTGTTGTCGTATTTCTAGTGCGGAGGACTTCTGGCGATTTGAAAGAGAAACACAAACTCTGTTTTGGCCTATGGATCAAGAAGCCGTCGTGACTTATTCTTTACCGAGACCCAGGGAGCTTTCCCTGTACGTAGAAAGGAATAAAGTACGCTTTGAAGTACCAGCTCACAAGAGACCGTTGCCTACATTCAAGCTGTGCTTCCCAAGTTGGGTCTACTCATGCGTCTGCCAGCCCCTTAGAGCAGGGAGTCTGCCTAATATAATTTCTGGATGGATGCAATCTCTTATCTGATTTTATATTATTAAGTAAAAAGCTATCCTTATGTGAAACAGTGAGAAGTAGGACTATAATGTGGACAGTTCCTGAGCTGCTTATTAACTTCTGAAGCAAAATCAGTAGAGGCAGGGGCCCCGATGGAAGTATGATGTATCTGCATGTGTTCTGGCCCTGTGGCAGCTCCCCGAGTCCTGTTCTCTTGTAACTGTTCCCCACATCCTAGTCTCTTGTGGCTGTTCCCCGTGTTCTAACCCCTGTTGCTTTTGAGTTTTTGGACATCATCGCCAGGTTCTCTTGATGTTTTCAAACCAGAGTTTGCCTTTGCTTTCTGTGCTTTTAACATGTTTTAAACCAAATCTTTCCCTCTGCGTGCATTTAGCGAAACAGGACACTTGTGAATAAAGATTTTTATTTTTGTCCAAAGGCAAACATGGGTAAAGCATTCTTCTTTGTAATATGTAAAAAGAATGTGAACTTTTAGAATTTCTTACAATTAAGAGAAAATGTAGGTCGGGCAGGGCGGTGGTGGCGCATGCCTTTAATCCCAGCACTTGGGAGGCAGAGGCAGGCGGATCTCTGTGAGTTCGAGGCCAGGCTGGACCTACAGCCTCCAAAACAATACAGAGAAACCCTGTCTCGTAAAACCAAAAAAAAAAAAATACAGGTCAGTAGTAACATGTCTTTCTGTCAACATCAACATGAAACAGCTGCATAGGTACAAAACCAATAGTGGCTATAAGATGTTTGCCATAACCAGAGAGTCTGGGAAACAGAAACTTCGTTTAGTGGCTGATCGAAGAAGAGGCAGACTCCCTCGGTTAAGTACTGACCTGAACTCAAGAAAGCCAGTAACAGAGAGGGAGGACTGATGACCAAAGGGATTAAGACTGGGCTGGTTTAACCCCCAGAAACAGCTGACCTGACAAAGGTTAACTCTTGAATCCCAGGCATCAGCCTGGGAATCCAGCATGGGACTGATCAAGACCCCCTGAATGTGGGTGTCAGTGAGGAGGCCTAGGTAATCTATTGAGCCTTGGACAGCAGATCAGTACCCATCCCAAGTATACACATGGACTTTGGACTCCCATCCAACAATGTGAGGTGCACTCTCACCCTGAACTCTTGGGGAAGGGTCTAGGCCCTGCCCTATATGAAATGACAGACTATGGACACCCCATGGAGGGCCTCACCCTCCCTGGGGAAATGAGGGGATAATGGGGGGGTTGAGGGGAGGGCATGGGAGGAGGGGAGGGAAAGGGAGAGGGACCTGGAACTGACTTGTTCTAAGCAACCTTGTTTCTAATCTAAATTTAAACTGAAAAATAAATAAATAAATAAAAATAAAAAGATATTTGCCATAAATATATTATTTTTTTGCAATATTAATGAAGGCAACCTGGAAAATTAGATTAAAATTAAGATAATATCGTCACTGACTGCAAAGTATTTCTAAAGTTGTTTTCAAAAAGCCTTAAAATACATGGTACTTAAGGACCTGAAAAGATGGCTCAGAGGTTAAGAGCACTGACTGCTCTTCCTAGAGGTCCTGAGTTCAATTCCCAGGAACACGTGGTGGCTCTCAGCCACATATAATAGGATCTGATGCTCTCTTCTGATCTGCAGGGATACATGCAGAGCATTCATATTCATAAAATATAAATGCAATAAAATACATGGTACTTTAGTTAGCTTAAGGACTATAATTATTTCATAGTCACTAGGAGGCTTTATATTAAAAAAAGATCTAAAAGTGAGAACTTGGTTAGACTTTCCAAAGGTTTTTGTTGTCGTTTTTTCCTAATTTTCACCAGCCTCCTGTTTCTAACACTGTTTATGGAAAAGTAGTGCCACCCATGACTGAAACTTCTAATATATGTGTGTGTGTATATATATTATATATATATATATATAATTCTTCGGTCAGTTTTGCAGGATCTGAAATCTGTAGTCTACTACTATTAGGAATTAAACTTGAATAAAGCTCTGGTGCCACCATGTGCCATCACATCTGTGTCCAAGGATGAAGTACTCGATCCCTCAGTCTCAACTCCCTCCTTCCTTTCTCTGTCCTGTCTGTCTTAGTTGCTGTTCTATGGCTGTGAAGAGACAGCGTGACCAAGGCAGCTCGATTTTTTTAAGCATTTAATTAAGGGCTTTCTTATAGTTTTAGAGGCTTAGTCCATTGTCATCACGGTGAGAAGCTGACAGGCATGGTCCTTGAGGCAGCAGCTGAGAGATTTGCATCGTGATCTGTTGGCAGCAGAGAGATTTGCATCGTGATCTCTTGGTAGCAGACAGAGAGACACGAGGCCTGTGTAGGTTTTGAAACCTCAAAGCCCATCTCCAGTGACACACTTCAAGAAGACCAGACCTATTCCAACAAAGCCACACTTCGAATCCCTTCCAATCAGTTCTACTCCCGGGGTAACTAAACATTCAAATATGTCTGTGGGGGCCATTTTCATTCAAACCACACTCCCTTTGTCCTTCTGCCCCTCCCTCTCTGTGGAAAGGGTCCTAGGTTCCCCTAAAATGACATTGCAGCAAATTATAGACTCTTGGATATCTAACATTTTTTTCAGCTTAATTTTTTAAAGTTCCTCAACATTTTGGTATATTTTGAATTTGCCTAAACTCATATTTCCATTCATGTTTCTTCATTCCATCCTGAGACTTGAACCTTTGTGAAGCTTGTGGTTGTTTTAAGTAAGGTACACTGCGAACTGTGTATTCATAACAGGTTCTTTGCATTCTAGGAGGTTATCAGCAGGGACGAGGCACCTTCACGGTCATTTCTATTACAATATGCAAAAATGGGGAGAGGAAAGGGGCGACTAGTGAGCGATTTTTAACGTGTGTGGGGGATGTGCACGTCAAATCCTCAGATACTGACAGCTGATCAAAGCTGAAGTGATTGTTGCATGGAGAAGGACCCATTAACAGGACATGCTTCGATCACAGTTCCTCCCTGACCCTGCACAACTGTACGTACATTTTTTTTGTCAAAAGGAAAAAAAATAATAAATGAAGGACAAATGTGTTGGTTCCTTTTTGAGTGGAAAACAAGACTCAGCCAAGACTCCCATTCAGGTGTTACTTATAAAAATTTAAGAGTTTGCCCGATTAGCCTCAGTTTGCAGGGAAATCCCTATCCTTTTCTTTAAACAACCCTCTATAGATTCCTCACATAGAACAAAGTGTGTGCAACCTAGAAAAAGTTAAGATTGTCATTCATTGTTGGATGTGGTGGCATGTAGTGGCATCTTGCCAGTGAACTAGTAGTGGTGGCCACACCCTTTGGGTATGGCTTCAGGTGCAGAGGTGACCCCATTATCAGGTAGAGGAGAGGCTGGCTCAAACTCTCTTGGGTTTCGGGGAGCATTGGAAGGGCATAGATGGTATCTTCTGGAGCAGGAAGCCCAAGGTGGTTATTTACTACTATCTGTGTAAGTGCTTCCCTAATAAATACCTATTTATCATTTATCTTATGTCTGGTGGACTCATTTAAATCCCACCTTGGGTAACACATGGTTTTAATCACAGCACTAGGGAGGCAGAGCTGGGAGATCTCTATGAGTTAGAGGACAGCCTGGTCTGGTCTACATAGTGAGTTTCAGGCCAGCTAGGGCTACAGATTAAGACCCTGTCTTTTTCCTTTCTTCCTTCCTTTCCTTTTGCCACTTCATTTAGAATTATTGCCAGATTATGGAATTGAAACGCAAAATACCAAAAAGTACATTCCGAAAATACCAGTGGGTTTCTTTCTATTAAAGCTTATAAGTAAAATCTTTTCTCCCATCTTTTTTTAAAATTTAAATTAGAAACAAGCTTGTTTTACATGTCAATCCCAGCTCCCTCTCCCTCCCCTCATCCCTTGTCCCCGCCCCCCACTAACCCCCTATCCCATCCCCTTTCTGCTCCCCAGGGAGGGTGAGACCTTCTCTGGGGATCTTCAAAGTCTGTCATATCATTTGGAGCAGGGTCTAGGCCTTTCCCTGTGTGTCTAGGCTAAGAGAGTATCCCCCTATGTGGAATGGGCTCCCAAAGTCCATTTGTATGCTAGGGATAAATACTGATTCACTATCAGAGGCCCCACAGATTGCCGTGGCCTCCTCACTGACACCCACATTCAAGGGGTCTGAATCAGTCCTGTGCTGGTTTACCAGCTATCAGTCTGGGGTCCATGAGCTCCCCCTTGTTCAGGTCAGCTGCTTCTGTGGGTTTCTCCAGCCTGGTCTTGACCCCTTTGCTCATCACTCCTCTCTCTCTGCAACTAAATTCCAGAGTTCAGTTCAGTGTTTAGCTGTGGGTGTCTGCCTCTGCTTCCATCAGCCACTGGATGGAGGCTCTAGGATGACATACAAGGTAGTCATCAGTCACATTATTGGGGAAGAGCATTCAAGGCAACCTCTCCACTATTGCTTAGATTGTTAGTTAGGGTCATCCTTGTAGATTTCTGGACATTTCCCTAGTGCCAGATTTCTCTTTAAACCTATAATGGCTCCCTCTATCATGGTTTTTCTTGCTCTCTTCTATTCTTCCCCTGACTCAACCTTCCTGCTCCCTCATGTCCTCCTCTCCCCTTCTCTTCTCTCCTTCTCTTTCTCCTAGCGCCCTCTCCCCTCCCCCATGCTCCCAATTTGCTCAGGAGATCTTGTCCCTTTCCCCTTTTCCAGGGAATCATATATGTCTCTCTTAGGGTCCTTCTTGTTTCCTAGCTTCTCTGGAGGTGTGAATTGTAGGCTGGTAATATTTGCTCTATGTCTAAAATCCATATATGAGTGAGTACATACCATGTTTGTCTTTTTGTGACTGGGTTACCTCACTCAGGATGGTTTCTTCTAGTGTCATCCATTTGCCCGTGAATTTTAAGATTTTTTCTCACCCCCCCGTTTAAGTAAAACAACGCTGTGAGTTTTAACACTACTTTAAATTGTTTTGAAATTTCATCAACTTTTAATGTTTGTCTGTTTTTGTTTTTTTAAAGAAAAGTAAATAAAACCACAAATATAAGGAACCACTTTCCTTGTGCCTCAGGCACTGTTCAAGAACTGTTATTTAACAACAATGTTAAACATAACATTTTGGCTCCTTAAGTATTTTTTGAATTAACTTTGGTTTAACATATTAACAAATCCAGATCATCTAGGTTTGTTTTTGTTTGTTTTGTGACAGGGTTTTTATGTATTGTTTTGGAGGCTGTCCTGAAACTCTATAGACCAGGCTGGCCTTGAACTCACAGAGATCCGCCTGCCTCTGCCTCCCCAGAGCTGGGATTAAAGGCGTGCGCTACCAACGCCCAGCCAGGTTACCTGGTTTTTGACAGCCCTTCAAATTGACCATTTTAGCTCCTCTGTCTTAATTCTCCAATCTTTTTTTACTGCATTAGGAAACTTGGGTCGGCTTTACTACTCCAAGGGTGGAACTATGTTCTATTTCACTTATCTTGCTCCCCTCTCTCATCAAATAATTTCAGTTCAGGGCTGGGGACCTGGTTCAGGGGAAGAGTTTGGTCAGGGCGCCGCTATGCCCAGTGACCAGCGGAAAAGAAAAACTGTCATTCTCACCCTCCCCCCGTCCACTGTCTGCTAAAATTTCCTTAAAATACAAGTTTTCTCATTTGTTCAGTTATTCTAAACCCCTATGGGTGGAGCTCAATCAGGGGAGGGAAAAAAAAAAAAGAAAAACATTTACTCCGGTGACGTTGTTGATCCACGCACTTCCGCCTGGCAAGAAGGTCCGGGAACTTCTAAGTCGAGGGGCTGGGGGGGTCGTGTTTCCCTCGATGTCAGCCGGCAGCGTTTCCGTGGCGCACACCATGGACTTCCTGTTTCTCCCGCGCCTATCGCGAGCTTTGCGGGCTCTGCTCGCCGGAAGCGAGCCTCTGGCAGGGTTGCCTGTCGTCGGGAGCTGCGCGTCAGGTGAGGCCAGGGAGGGGGGAGGTGGGCGCCGAGCCGTTCGTCCCCGGCGCGCGGAGGAGGCGGGCGGCTCCTGCCGGGGGGTCTCAGGGTCCCCGCGGCTCCCCGTGGTGCCTGCGAGCGGCGGCGGCAGCAGCTGCTTATCCCCCGGACCAGGCAGGGGCGCGGGTGGGCATGCTCGGCGTTGACGGCATCAGGGACAGCGCTTTTTATATTGTTATTGTTATTATTATTATTATTATTATTATTATTATTATTATTATTATTATTCTGCGACGGCGTTTGTAGTTGAGTCCTTTAATGGCAGCGTTTATTGATCCCTTAACTGTCTGGCTGCAGACAGTTTAGGGGTTTAGAATAACTGAGCAAATTAGAACACTCCTCCTAGGAGGACTTGTATTTTAAATTTTAGCACACATTGGATTGGAAGTGAGAGTAACAGGTTTTCTTCTTCTTTTTTTTTTTTTTTAACCTCCCTGTTGCTTATTGGACGGAGCAGTCAGTTGAGGTCCAAAGCCACAGGGTTTCTTTTGCCTGGTTCTGTTTTTGATTTTTAGAAGGAAAGAGGAAATGCCCGAATGTGCTAAGATGTGGTTGCAAATTGGGTGCACATGGAATTGAATGCATTTTGGAATCTAGGGCTAGTGAGGTATAATGTAATGTTATATTTATCTTTTCTCTCTTTTTTTTCTTCTTCAGGAGAACTCTAAAGGTTAGAGAAACAGAAGCCATGTTTCGAAGACCTGTGTTACAGGTAGTGGTGTTTCTTCTTTAGTAAGTGCTTGGCTGTGTTTTCATCTGTAGTCATTGGGTTTCTTGTCTTATCTTTTTTTTGAGATAGCATCTTTTGCACCGCGGGCGCTCTTGAGACTCCCTGTTAGGCTGAGGAGGACCAAGAACGTCAGATCCTCCTGCCTCTGCTTTCCCAGTGCTGGTGATTCAGGCCTGCACCACCGTAACTGGCTTCTCTGTCATTTCCCATGTGGCTCTGGTTCCTTTCCTGAGGTTGTCCTCTGCTCTGGCCAGCCGTAAGCGCGCCTGGGTTACCGCTTTCCTCATGGTAGCGCTGGGTACCACCCGTTTGTAAATTCGGATGTAAAGTCTTGGTTAAGACTAACAAGTCAAATTCTTACTTGTCATCTCCATCGTACTCTCAAGTTGATCTAACCCTAAGTCTCTACTTTAGTCTACACGTGCTTGCAGCCAAATGTGAAGTAAAAGTTTGCACTTTGAGAGTATTGAAGTAACCCATTCCTTCTTTCTGCTTTTCTACTAGGTGGTGATTGGTGTGTGTGCGCGCCTAACTTGAGGCATATTGTTGTTACGTAACATATAATGAGCTCTGATTCTTCTGATCCCACAGATTAGTATTTTCTGTGATTATAACATAAGAACTGATTGGCAGTTTGATCCCATATTTGCCGAAACATCTTATTGTATCTACCCTGAGTGATATAGTGTTCTGTAGCTAAGATAACTCCAGGAATGGATGTTTATTAGAGTGATATGGAGAGAGCAGGCCATTATTAAAAGACAGGGAAGGAGACAGGTCCACAACAGGGAGTTTTTTAAAAGCTAGGTTGAGAAATGGTGTGGTAACCTGGCACCTCAGAACTACAACCCTGTCCGAGTCCTTATTTGCATGGAGAGATTGCATAATGAAATTACCGACTCAGCAGCCCTCACAGGCCTGAGCCACAGCCAGCTGAGGTGACCCTCCTTCTGTGGTAGGAGTTTTATGCCAGGAAACCACCTTCAAAGTGGCTTCACTAACAGGGTGAGAACTTCACTGGGGGGCATCGACCTCAGCCCACTGCTTGAAGCCTTAAGTATTAACCGTCTAGCTAGCCAGCTGCTTCCTGCAGGGTCCTGAATAAATTTCTTTCTGTTGTTTTCTCTGAGATGGTAATGCTTTGGCCTGCCAGCCTCCTTCTCTCCTGTGTGGCAGATCCACTAGGGAAATGTGTCTCTCTTAGAATGTGTCTAGCTCTCTGAACTCGAGTGTAGGGATGCGTACTCTTCTTACCTCTGTGGTGACCATAGGACAGAATGTCTTCAAGATAGCAGCAGAGGGCAAGGTGGAAAACGACGTGGTGTCAGACAGCCCTGAGTTCTAAGTCATAAATTACCACTTCATTCCTCCTGGACGGGTGACATACTCTCTGAGCTTAATGCTCCTTGGTTCTAAGGTGGAGATGATATGACATCGTGTCCATGGTTAGTTTAGGATTAAGTGATAGTAGGTAATTTTCTTAGCGTATTAAGTGGTGCTGGTTTTTTGTCTGTGAATATCCTTTTTTCAGTAAATGGAACTTCATAGCCAGACCTTTGAACTATATTTTTTACACTGCTTTCCTTTTCTTTTTCTTTGTTTTTGTTTTTTGTTTTTCCTTAGTTGTACTGAAAGAGTGAAATACTCCACTATTCTGCAGGACCAAGCTTACTGTAGAAGCTGTTGACTTTTGCAGCAGCCTCAGAAACCAGTGCTACCATCTTTGCTCATTTAAAGGAAACACTCTAGGACTGTCATTAGAGATGTCCTAGTCCTTAGGAACTTTGAACAGCCAATCAGGGAAAAGGGTGTTACTATAGACCTTGTAAGTTTTATCCACAGTGCCGATTTCAAGGTCAGAAAGATGTGCAGCAAATGCAAGGGATATATTGTTTTGTTATCATTTAACCAATTTCTCATTGTCTACATTTGAGAGTGAGGCTTAATATACTGATTGTATTCTAAATATCCTAATACTTGTTTGATAATCGCTTTTTGTGTTTACTTAGTTGATTTCTGACTTATATTGATTAGAAAGCACTGATTTCTTTCTATTCCCCCTTTCTGCCCCAGTCTCCTTTGCTGTCCTTTCCTGGGACCTGTAGGGACTAACGATTAGATGGTGGATTAGTATGAGAAGGCCTTCTGTTGGCGTCTTTCTTTCCTAAACCATTTAAAGCTGCATTATGTCTTTGCTCTCCTCTAGGTGTTTCAGCAGTTTGTAAGACATGAGTCTGAAGTGGCCAGCAGTTTGGTTCTTGAAAGATGTAAGTTTACAGTGCTATTTACAATACTCTGCTAGTGATCTCCAAGTTCTATAGAGCTGTGGGCTCTGTTTAACAATGCCACCCATTAAACCTTTGTCATTTTACTCTTGTGCCTCTGTTTGTGAGGAACTAGTAGAGAAAGAACTTAGAGTCCAGATATCCCCGCCACTGTCCTGCCCAGTCCCTCACGACTGTGGTATACAGCATGTGAAGGATAACTTCCTCACAGAAAGCTTTTTGTAATAGAGGTTCTCTTAAATCTCAGATTTGTTCTTTTTTTTTTTTAAAGATTATTTTCATTTAATTTGCATTGGCATTTTGCCTGCATGTATATCTGTGTGAGGGGTGTCAGATTTTGGAGTTACAGACAGGTATGAGCTGCCATATGGGTGCTGGGAATTGAACCCGGGTCCTCTGGAAGAACAGCCGGTGCTCTTAACCACTGGGCCATCTCTCCAGCCCCTCAGATTTGTTCTTAAAATTTGTTTTGTGGGGCTGTTTTCTTTCTTCTTGTCAATCCTTTCTCCCTTCCCAGCCTACCTTTACTCCCCCTTTTAACTTGTTGATTTTCTGGCTTGAGTTTTTCATAATGCTGTTCATTCTGCGGATGTTTCTGTCAGTCTCAAGTGTGGGTTGATCCTGTGTGGCTTTCTGGCTGCTATAATGGTGACTTAGCAGTAGATAGCTGTTTCTTAGAGCTCTGCAGGCTGGAAGGCCAAGGTCTGACTGTCAGCATAGTGGAGGGTGGTTGCCCTCTCACTCCTGTCTGTTTATGGTGGCGGTGGGGTAGTGGCTGCCCTGGTCTCTTTCTTTCCTGATAGGGACACTTAATTCTGTCATGGAGGCTTTACCGTCATGACCTCATCTAACCCTAATTCCCGACACAAGGCTCGCCTGCAGATGCTGTCACACTGGAAGTCAGAGTGCTGAGGCAGCATAAATGTGTAGTCACCAGCAGGCGCTCAGCCTCACTTCTTTTCCGCTTTGTATTTCAGCTATGAATCGTGTTCAGTTACTTGGGCGAGTCGGTCAGGACCCCGTCATGAGGCAGGTGGAAGGAAAAAACCCAGTCACGATATTTTCCTTGGCAACCAATGAGATGTGGCGGTCGGGAGACAATGAAACATACCAAATGGGTGAGTATAAAAGGCTGTAGTTTTTATTTTATCAGCCATGAGCAGGCATGGTCACTGCTTACCTAACATCAGAAATGCTACTTATAGATGAAGTCAGTTTTCACTAGTTCTGTTCTTTCTAGAAATTGTAAGCTTGTTTTTCCGAGACATGTTCTGCGCTGTTGACATTTGTATTGTCTGCTGGCCTCTGTAACCCCATTTCCTATATCTGGTGTTGTAGGTGACGTCAGTCAAAAGACAACATGGCACAGAATATCGGTGTTTCGACCGGGCCTCAGAGATGTGGCGTATCAGTACGTGAAAAAGGGGTAAGTTAGTGAAAGGGTGTTTGGGTTGAAAGGCTTAAAGAATCGACAACAAACGTTCTCGTCTGCCTTTTCCTTAAGTACTGACATTTAATGTATGTGTTCCTTAATATGATGCTCGTGGGAAGTCTCGGTTTTAGGGTTTGGGCAAACAGCATCTGTACGTAAATGGAGTAAATGAGGCTGCAGCATGTGTTTTTGCAGAGCATCTATAGCACATGTCTCTAGGAGATTCTGTGCCTGTGACCTGGGAGACGGAGGTCACATCTGGCCTCTGAGCAACCGCAGGATGTCTTTGGAGAACCTGGAGTATTTGATGTCTGATGTACTAGGTTATTATGGTAGTGTTTACAGTAGTTATTTTATATTTGATATTTTCTTTAGACTCCGTAATTCCCATTTGAAATG